GGCTGATTGTTCATCTTTCTAGGGCCGGAATTGGAGGGCTTGCCGCGGCGCTGTCACTGGGGAAGCGAGGCCATCATGTGCATCTGATCGAGTTCGCTCCCGAGATCGCGGAAGTCGGAGCAGGGATCCAGTGCGCCCCCAACATGACGCGCATCCTCGATCGGTTAGGAGCAGGCGTCAAGGTCCGCAGCACCGGCGTCGCCCTCGAGGCGATCCATATCCTGCGCTGGCAGGGCGGCACTCTGCTCGGCAGTGTCCCCATCAGTCAGGAGCACGGCGAGCAGTTCGTCGTCCACCGCGCCGACTTGCAGATGTCTCTGCTGGAGAAAGCCCTGGCGCTCCCCAACGTCAAGTTGCAGACCAACACGAGGGTCGACGACGTGCAATTCAGCCCGGCGGCCGTGAAGCTCAATGACGGATCGTGGGTCCATGGTGACGTGGTGCTAGCTGCCGATGGCATCAAATCTATGATTCGCGGGAAGCTTCTCGGGGATGACAAGGACGTCGCCGTCCCGACGGGAGACGCTGTTTACAGAGTCGTCCTTACCCGGGAAATGTTGAGCCACTACCCGGAGCTGTTGCCGTTCATCGAGGAGAAGAAGGCCATTCGATGGATCGGACCTGGGAGACACATCATCGCATATCCCGTGCGGAACCACGAGATTTACAACATGGCGCTGGCTCACCCGGACCGTGGTCGCGTTGACGAGAGCTGGACCACCGTGACGTCGAAGGACAACCTCCTCGCAGACTACGATGGCTGGGATCCGAACCTGGTCAAGATGCTCGATCTCGTTCCCGAAGGCGATGTCCTGGAGTGGAAACTGTGCATGCACATGCCCCTGCTGCGCTGGGTGAGAGGTTCGTGCGCCTTGCTGGGTGATGCCTGCCACCCCATGCTGTAAGTTGCCAAACCACCGATTCAAAGGTCCCGCGTTAACCATGGTAGACCGTATGTCGCACAAGGCGCCGCGCAGGCGGTCGAGGACGCTGCTTCACTGGGAGTGGTCTTGTCTTCGATATCGTCCAAGGACGAAATCCCGACAGCCCTGTTGGCGTTTGAGAAGGCACAGAAGGCTCGCGCCGAGCATATCCAACAGTCCTGTCTCACGACGCGGGCGGCTCTTCATCTGCCTGATGGGCCGGAGCAAGAGGCCCGTGATCAAAAGTTCAGAGCCCTGTCAGCTGGTGGTGACAGCGACGACAAGTGGGGGGATCCCGAGTTCCAGAAATTCATCTGGAGCTGGGATGCTGAAGCCAAGGCTGAGGAGGCCTGGAAAGGTGAGTTCCTTGCTCACAGTGCAGATGCGCATTCGAGGAGGTCATTACTTGTACTGACTGGACGCAGAGATGAAGCGCGAGGCAGGAACGCAAAGCCGGCTATGATTGCTTCGACTGACTGACTGATTGATTGATTGTTTAATCAACCTCGAAGCAGGGACGAGCATGCATGCGCGGAGCTGCCCCGTGAGACGTTGTAGTTACTCTGTATATGTTATTACGCAGCGTTAGCGGGCATTGCATGGGCGTTCAGGTCACAGAATGGCTGCAACAAACAGCGCCCCAGCTTGGAGAGCATTCTTGTCGATATCTTATGTAGGTAACTTGACACCATCACATCGTCCCGAAGTGACTTGGCGGCCAAGACGGTGGGATCGGTAAGCTTCGACTCCGTACGGCCAGCAAGATAAGGTACACACAAGTGCATGGCTTCCCTGTCCATGCCGCATTAGCTCCTCGTACTCGTAGCTTGTCGAGGAAAATCTCAATCCGAACGCCATGTGTGACGACTACATGCAATGAACCAACTTGGTGAGGTCCGCTGGCCATGGTCGTCGACCAGAGGACGAAGCAAAGATTGCTCGTCCGCACCGACACTGCGACAAGCTTCTCGTCTAGCCACGAGTCCACCGTTCGTTCTCCTTCCCTCGATGGTTTGGATGCACATGCCACATGGTCCCCAACACTTTTAACCCTATGCAGTCTGGGGCAGTGACACCGCAGGAAGCGAACCCGACCCGGTGGCAAGCATGCTTTCTGGTTACTGGGCCGAAGGAAGATCTGGCGATCCACGTTGTCGCGCAGATCCCAATCCTTCGCCGACTCTTCTGCCTCGATCCAGGCACTCGACGAGTCATGGTGCAGCCACTTAGCGCCCCAGCTATCTACCGGAAGCCTGCTGTTGGCGGGCTTTTGAGCCGGGTCGAGCCCGTATAGGCAAAGGCTCCAGCAACCCAACGCCTCCCACTGTGGCCACTCGAGCCCACTGGACCAAGAACTGGCACATTTCCGGGGGTTCAACAGGCCCCCGAGAAGGCCTGACAATTATTGAGCCCCCCTGGTGGCCCCATGCCCGAGGGGTGGAGACCCCGCCCTCGTCGCCCCACTGGCACTGGCACCGTCGGTCGGTGACCCCCTGGATCGTTCCAGCCAAGGATACTCGTAGCAGAGTGGAAAAGCAATGGTGCGAACTCAAGCGGGACGATGGGCCATGCCACGAAAGATTCTGTGCTTCCCTTTATGAAGACGATCGATCTCTTCCTCCTCCTCCTCCTCCCAGTCCACGCGGATCTTGGTCTTTCTCTCCTTCGACCACGCTTCGTTGCCTGTCCCCCGACCTCAACTCGTGTGGCTCAAGAGGCATCGATCAAAGTCGACATCGTCAACAATGGCTGGAGACCACCATGAACACGGCCACCAGCCTGCTCACCTCAAGCACAGGTTCGTGACGCAACCCTCTCGTCCAAGCTGTCAATTGCCTTGCTCACATCCCGATCAGCCACGCTCATGAAGAGGACATTCCTGGAACCGTGAACTTGCAGGCTCAAGGTACGTTGCGAGTCAAGCTCCTATAGGTGCCGAGATGTCGGATACATGCTCCCACGTCGACGAAATGTTGGAATACATGCTAACCTCCGTTTAGAGGGCGATGATACTGGCTATGGACAAGCTCTCTTCCCTGTGCCGGCAGATGATCCCAATGACCCCCTGCAATGGGGCAATTTCAAGAAAACCATGATCTTGTGTATCTGCGCCGCGTACTCGTTCTTGGGCAATTCGTCGTTGCTGGGCCCTTCGGTCTACATTGGCATCTACTCGGAATCCTTTGGCATCGACCCGGCAACTGCGTCGGGGCTGATCTCATATCCCAACTTGGCTTATGGATTCGGATCGCTCCTCCTGGTTCCTGCGTACCTCAAGTTTGGCCGTCGACCTGTGATGCTCATCTCGATCATCTTCGTACGTTGCTTGTTCTACAGCTTCCGTCGTCTCTTTACTGACAAATGAGTTAGTTTGCTGCTGGTCTGATCGGTTGCTCACAATGCAATTCGTATGGCCCACTCATGGCCTGCCGCATCATCCACGCTTTCGGATCCGGTGTCTGCGAGGCGCTTCCCGTGCAGCTGGTCAACGACATCTTCTTCCTGCACGAGCGCGGACAGAGGCTGGGCTACTATACGGTGGCCTTGTGCTTGGGCGCGACCGGACCTCTCTATGCGGGCTATATGCTTGCCGGGGGCTACTCGTGGCGGCTGTTCTTCTACGTCGAATTCGCCTTTGCGTGCGCCTTGTTCATCCTGGCTTTCTTCTTCGTGGAGGAGACCTGGTACAAGCGCGATGAGATGAAGAGGCGACTCGGGGCCGCTGTTGAAGTGTCGCCCACGACCGAGAAGGGCATCGACGCCGGGTTTGCAGAGGTTTCCAACGCCGCGCCGCTGAGGAAGACGTTCGTCGAGACTCTGAAGCCATGGGGCGTCTATGACCCTGATGCGGATTTCTTCATGACTATTGCGCGGTCTTTCACTTATTTTGCCGTCCCCTCGGTGTTCTGGGTCGTGGCCACCTACGGTATCTACATTGGACTCGGAGCGTTGGCATTCAACTACACTTTCCCCGCCTTGATTGTTGCTCCTCCTTACAACTGGTCTCAGGTAAGCAGAGGCGATCCTGACCGGGAGAATTCGTGCGCTAACATGGAGAAAATAGACCAACTCCGGCTTGATCGCTGTCGGCAACGCTGTCGGGTATCTCCTGGCTGTTCCTTTCACCACTTCGTCTGACCGGCTCGCCGCGTACCTGACGAAGAAGAACGGCGGCATTCGCGAGGCCGAGATGCGTCTGGGCGTACTACTCCCCGCCATGTTGATCGGACCTGCCAGCTTGATTGTCTACGGCTACACCGCGCAACGACAACTCCACTGGTTTGGCTACTTTGCCGGCGTGGCCATGTGCAACTGGTCGGCCTATTTCTACTTCACCTTCACGCTCGCCTACGCCGTGGACAGCTACACGGTCAACCTGTCTGAGATGCTGATTGCCATGAACCTGGGCAAGCAGGCCATTTCCTTCGGCTTTGGATTCAAGATCCTCGACTGGATCGTCGAGAGCGGATATGTCAACATCATTGCTGGCGTCTTTTGCGGCGTGTTGGCCGCCAACGATTTTTTGCTCTTGGTGTTTATGTTCTTCGGCAAGAGGATCCGCATTGCCACGAGCAGGACCTGGCTGGCTCGCATGCACAAGCGCACCCACGTCACGGGTGAGAGTCACTAGTAATGATACCCTGGCAGGAGAAGAACTGAAGGAAGGATGAGCCCAGGTCAGTGACATGACATATACTGAACATTTCCAAAATTGTCTGGCGATCAATGTGATGATACATATCAAGCCTCTTCTCTTTCCTGATCCATCGTCTCCAGCTCAGTGACACAGACTCACCATTCTCCCGCCCTGTCGTCCTCCGCCTTATCCGGCACTACACCCTTACTGCCATCCACGCACGTCCCTATCCGTGAAGCACCATGGCGAATGATGGTGCACTCCGCCAAGCAACGTATCTATCGTGGGCAACATATCGGGACTGGACAATGATGCATCTCTCAGAGAAGACTTCGCCGATCTCTGTTCCCTCCAGCTCGTCACTCTCTTATACCACACACTTCGCATGCTCTCTTTTCTTTTCACCGTCCGTCCAGATTAGGTAAATTCTCGTTTACGCCATGCGGGTCGACATTGTCGACGGTATGGCCGGTGTGCTCCCTGTCACCGTCCTCCTCCTCCTCCTCCTCCTCCTTTTCCTCCTCCTCCTCCTTTTCCTCCTCCTCCTCCTTTTCCTCCTCCTCCTCCTCCTGGTGCTTGGTCTCCTCTCTTTAACCACATTGGCATTTCCTACGAACGGGTCGACTCTCTTGGGTATGGTCTGTGAGTGGGGGAATGGTGTCTTTCCTGCCCTCTATCATGTAAGTGTGGCGCTCTCACAATCGTTGCCATGGGCCATCTTTCAGTCTACACCGGCACAGACTGACACAGCCTCACAGGAATATTGGGAAAACAGCTGTCCTGCGAAATTTCACGTGACCACCATCCGGAGCGTGTCAAGACGACTTCAAGGCACCCGCAGGGAGCAACATCAACCGTGTTCGCGACTGCAGCAGCTTCTGTCAAATCAAAACGACCTTCTCGAACGCACAAGAGCAGCCCTTTATTCGAGCCCTGGGTTGTCAAGGGCCTCAGTCTTGCACCTTGTTTGAATCCATACATGATATACCAAGGATACAACATCAAGGATACAACATCAAGGATACAACATCAAGGATACAACATCAAGGATACAACATCAAACTCATTCAGTGTGGGCATGAAGAAGATCATCGGCATCGGCATCAATGGCGGCTACCACTGGAAAGGCGGTACCAGCCAGGGGTTCGAGGCGTCTGTACTTTATCTATCCCTGAAGTCATCAAATGAAACTTGGCGCAAACAAATGCAAAGTATGAGCGGCGGCGGCTCTTTCTTGCCCATCAGAAAGTTACCAACCTATTTTCACCATGCTCCAGGTGTTCGAGAGTATCTTCTTTACATTGTTGTATTGGGTGTGTAAAGCAGCTGGGGACTATATAACGTGTTTCATCAGACGACTTTCAGGATCAAGAGAGTAATGCTTAAGACACGAGACGGTAAGTCCGCTAGTCTCGACTGTGTCTCGGAACTGACACAGGAGCAGATTGCGGCTATCGGACTTTCATCCTTGTACGTCGTCTGGATCACCACAGCATTCATCTCCACACAGACGAAGTGGCTCCTAACGCCGCCGTAGTCGCCAAGGACACTTGTGATCATAGACCGAGAAGTACCTATACTGGCGACGTGAATCGGAAGGATGTGTAGAGGTTAAGACCATCGTGGTGAGTCCAAGACTGCCGTCCTGAGCAGGGACACGGTGTGACACAATCTCATGCTAACGGAATAGCGCTTCACAGAATCAATGCGTCTACGAGGTAGTCCACTTCAAGGGCAACGACCCGTTCAGGGATGTGTAAGTTCCGCTGCTGCTCTTGGCATGTTGTCGTCGCGTATACGGAGTACTGACTTGACATAACCAACAGCAACACCTGCGCTCTCACACTCGGGCGTGCGCATGCCCCGCGACAATCCACAGATGGAAGGCTACAAGATGCTCTGGAAAGCCTCCATGCTGACACACGGCGTCTCCCACAGGGAGTGCCTGGCGTGAAATGTCACGTCTACCTGAGCTACGACGGCGATTGGGACGATGGCTGTCAGGTCCCGCTGCTAGGTCCCGCTGCTCGAGGCTGCCGCGGCGGTTCAGGCCATCCTGGACAGCCCGTGCAATGATGGCGACACCGTCAGTGGCAAGCATCTTGTTCGTGGGCAAGGGAATTGTCAGTCGACGGGCTGGTTGCTGCGCGAGGGAGAGGATCTGTGGGGCATCTACCCGCCGTAATTAGGGAGCGAGGAAAGCCGGTTCCGATTGTCTTGCATGGTCTTTAGCAGGGCCATCTCAAAGGTCTTGCATGGTCTTTAGCATGGCGCTTGACTGATGGGTCGTTGGCGCTGGACATTAAAACTCCATGGGAAGCTTGCTGATACAATTATGACATGGCTTAGCTAGAGCGAGAGCAGTCATAGATCAACAATGACCATCCCATCACATCGAACCATTCACGCTTTTTCGATCATTACTTACTCGTGGTGTCTGGTGGTGTCGTCACTGTCCCCCAAGTTTGAGATGCGACTCTCCAAACGTGATCAGCCCGTGTCAGCCCCGGAAATTCCCCATGCTCCAAATTCGCCTCATTCCCTCGTGCCTCGTGGCAAGTGCCCCGAAGCAGCCTAAGCGCCAGCCTCGACCCGGCCGGAGATTCTTCTTTGGCCGAGCAGATCCACCAGAAGGATGGACGCTGTGGAGGCAGTGACCAGCGGCGGGCGCAAAGTGAAGACCGAGTCAGGCGACACCAGACCAGACCCTGTGAGGGAACACGGCTGAAATTCATGACTGCCTTGACTTTCAACTCACTGTTTCCTCACTTCCTCCTCGGCGCCGACTCACCGGCTCCAAGATCTTCCGACCCGGCTGCTTGGGACGCTCGGAGCACCTTCCCGCACATCCTTTTGGTGCCGACACGGGCAGGTGCAACCCTGGCGCCCCTCCGTCTCCGTCCCCAACCCCAGAAAATCTCGACGCTCCAGTGTGTGCCCGCCTAAATGCTAATTTCTCGCCCAATCCTGCCCACCCAATTGGCCTGTCTTTCTGGAGCCTCCACAGTCCCGTGTCTCTCTTCCACTCGCCTCTGCCTGCTCCTCCTGACCCTCGTCCACGCTGCATCCTCCGCACTCTGGCCTCTGGCTCTCCCGCTGCCTCTGCTTCTGCCTCTTTGCCCGCCCTCCACGCATTGTCACCAGGTGCTAGCATCGCGTCTATTAGACCCTCAGACCCTGAGTTCATGCGCATCGCCGTCTGCATCTCGACCTCTTTAGATCGTTCCTGCCGGCCACCTTCCCATCGCTTCCCCCTCCTCCACCGCTCCCACATTCTTATCCCAATTCAACACCTCTCCCACTTCTCCTGACAGCCTCTCCACATATGCATCATGGTCTTGCGACAGTGTACTGTATGTGGCCGTCGTTTCACAAAGACCGAGCATTTCAAGCGCCATGAACGCTCTCGTACGTCGGACCCCCGACCCCGCGCTAATGTCCTCTGACATGCTTTACTCATACATGTACAGACACCCGAGAACGCCCTTACCCTTGCACGATTTGTGACAAGGCTTTCTCACGCAGGTATGCCTTCATCTGTCATCTCGCTTGTGGCGAACTGATGCCAATCATGGTCCAGCGATGTCCTGTTCCGGCATATGAAATGCCATGCCCAGAAGAACGACAAATCGGCTCCTGCTACCCAGTCTCACTCCCGGCGGAACACAATATCTGAGGGGGTCCCTCCTCAAGCCGCCCAAGATGAACTCAACGTCAACTCGCCGTCGGCCATTGCCAACGCGTCGCAGACCGGTATCCCGCTGATGCAGATCCTCTCACCCAGCAACTACCTCTCCCAGCCGAGCAATGATTCGCCCAAACTCGCCCGACACCCTTCGTTGGATGTCGCCCACCCTTTCGTCAACCCGTCAACGACGCAGAACAATGCTCTCGACATGCAGCTTCCCGGCTCGACCTGGTCCGTCCCGTCACCCATCGCCACCATGAACAACAAGACGTCGACGTCATCCCATGGCCAAAAGCCTTCGCCCTCGCAGCATAGCGGAGAGGTCTCAACCTTCGAAACGTCCATGACGTCGCCCCAAAATCCGGGCCAGACTCCCCGGTCTGAGATAGCGCCAAATCTTTCCGTTCAGTTTGCCGACAACCATATAGAATGGCTACCGCAGTCAGACAGCTCAAGCAACTTCCATGATCCCTTCCAGATGTGGTTGTTCCCTTCGCTGGGCGACCTGGATCAGTCTCCCGATTTTCTGCAGACCTATGGGTTACCCGACACTCAACCGTACGTGGATTCCAAAGACCTGGTCAATGGCCGAGCCTACGACCCTGTCGACAGAACAAAGAATATCGCCAAGGTCCCTCGAGAGCGCTTCTCCCGCGTTCAGCGATGTTGGAATCCTCGTCCCGGTCGCGTCTACCGCACCATGCCTGTTCTTTGGAGAGAAGTCGCGCTGTCACCAATGGACAACCTCTTCTCAGATTCACCTGTGGCGGACGACTTTAGAACCAACACAAACTGGGGCCTCGACACCGAATGTAGGGTACGACTCCGCGATACGTTTCGGACGCCTGCTCCGTCCCGCTATCATTCACCAAAAATGCAACCCGTCGTCGACCCTTCTCTGTCTCAACCACCCTCCGAAGAATTTCCACCTGCCGAGATCCTCGATATTGCACTGGGACTTTTCTTCCGCCGTTTTCACCCAACTGTGCCTTTCATTCACATAGCGACGTTCTCTGTACGGAATACACCTTCTCCCATGCTATTCGCTATATGTCTTATTGGGTTAAGTATACTCGGAACGACTGGTGCTACGAGATTCGTGTCGCGAATGTTTCCGAGCTTCCTGCAACGGGTTTGCAGTGATCTCTCTACAGCTGCTTCTTGTTCTGCATCACCGACGCAGCAGATGGTCCTCTATGCCACGGGCCTGTTGACGCTAAACTTGTCCGTAATCACTGGGGACAAAGACTGTCTCAACCAGAGTCAGATGCTTTATGTCAGTTTATTGGCGATCGCCCAGCAGAATGGGTTGTTCTCGGCTGGAGATGGACAATCCCTCGACGCACTTCTGTCAGAAATGTCCGAGTCCGATGACCGCTGGAAGGCGTGGAGTCGCATCGAATCTGCCAAGCGTCTCATCCTGGGATTGCTGCAGTGTGACTCGTGGTACTCGAATCTGCTGTCGAAGGCGCCTATTGTTCGTTCGGAGTCCGTCTGTCTTGTTGCGGCCTGCGACGAAGCACTTTTCCAGGCCAAATCCGCGACACAATGGCAGTCACTCCTTCGAAGTGGCAAGAGCCAAAGCGCCCCGAATTTTAAGATCGAGGATTTGCACAAGCACGACATGGAGCCTATCAGCAAGCTTGGTTACCTAGGACGATCGAGTCTGCTTGCGCTCTTGCAGATCCAGGTGCTCGAAGCCTACCAGCGACTGATGCCGCCGGATCAATTGACCATTGGCTCGTACATACCCTGGCACATGTACTCTGGGGACGCTCGTGCAAGGACGTTGGTGCCGGCCATCCTTGCTGCAATGAACACGGCAGGTCCGTTGGCCAAAGTCGACGACACGAATTGCGTCGTCCTCTGGCACAGCCTGTGCGTGATGCTCCTGGCCGACTTCCGCATGTTCGAGCTGGCGGCCGGTCGACACGGCGCCGTACCTGCCACGGGTGCCCTTGAGAATATCTCTCAATGGAGTCAAACGCAGGCGGCAAGGAGAGCCTGTGTGCACGCGGCTCAAACGTTCAAACTGATGTCGGAGCGACGGGTCAGCGACAACGTCACCATCCACAGCGTGACTGCACTGTTTGCATCTGCGCTCGTCCTAGGCCTGTACCTTTTCATGGTCAACCCAGGTTCCGGCCGCCAGGGGACTGCGCCCGTCGAACTTTTGGAGGCAGAACCCGACTGGGCCGAGCTGGGAGACATGGGTTTCAAGGACGAATCCCTCGACCCTACTACCACTGAACGTAATCTCACGACAAACCGGGAAGACGAGCATTTCAGCCCGGTCTATCAGTTCGTGAAGTACGGCGGCATGGTATCCCTGGGAGGAGTGGCGCACAGTGGCGGCTACGAAGGCGCCAGGCGAGTCCTTCTTGATTTTGCAAACCTCATGGATGGAATCAGTGGACGGAGACTCCGCACTTTTACGCAGGTCCTGCACATTATGAGTGATGATTTGATGAATGTCGATCCAGCGCTGTAAGTGGATGATGTAGGCATGAGAATGGGGCAGCGTGGTTAGGCACCTATGTGAGCACCTTTTGGGAAACAGAGGATAGGACAGATAGGACAGCATGGAATATCGGCCCTTGGCCGTGAGACAAGATGTCTTACCTTGGACGCCCGGCAGTCACCAGAGACGCTGCAGGCTTGAGATAAAAATAGTACAGAGTGCGATTGCCGTGTTCACAGTATTTGAACGACATGACTACGTGCTGTGCTCTGTACTGTGCGACGAATTGAGGACCACATCAATGCACCACTGTAGATGTATCGCCGACAGGAGTGGAATATCATCCACACGTCTATCCCTTACTTGGTCGTCGAGCACAGAACACAATATATGCATCTGCATTATAAGATGCGCCGACGTTCTTGAGGTAGTTCGCTCGATGCATTGTTATTGTTCGTCGACTGACGTACTGGGTATCTGTATATGTGACCTAGAGCGAGCGTTATACCACATACGACATACTACATTCTCCGTTCTTCGTTCTCCGTCCTCCGTCCTGCCCTAGTATTAGTTCTAGTCTTAGTCTTGACCTCGGGCCAGCCTGGTATGTACATACTCTACTATCTAGGTACCTAGGTAGTCTCCTGGTTCTTCGCGTATCCTCGTGGCTGAGGTATCGTCACATGGTATTTTAGCTGTTAGCTGGTACTGCGAGAGGCTGCGATTAGTTGGCTTCTCTCTCGATGTGCCGTGTAACTAACTACCTGCCTGCGTACCTACCTACCTACCTTTCTACCTGTCTACCTGCCTGTCTACCAATTTAAACATATATATGCGAATGGAGAATTTATTACATTGTGGTGCCATTCATTCATTCATTCATTCATTCATTATTTGCCATTTGCTAATTACTGTATCACTACTCCCTCCACTCTCACTTCATTGCTTCTCCCTGCTTGCTCTCTCCCCGCCCCCCCCTTCTCTCTTTGTCTGTATGTGCGTATCCGTTGTCTACAGGACATACATAGAATACTGGCGTATCTACATCTCTATATACTCCGTACATCTATATTGCACATCTACATCTACATCTATATCTTCCGCGCATATACAGGTGAACCGCACCGGGCACGCATACCGGCACGCATATAAGTATATATATAGATACGCCTGTACTGAGCAGTACTCACTATATAATTCGAAGCCTTTGGTACAGAGCATTGCGATCAAGGCTTTACTCTACGGTGGAGAATACCCATGTCCCCTTAGTATTAACACATACATCAGAGCGGGGTCCGGCTCGAGTTCAGCTCGCTCGAGGGCGTGGGCCTCTTCTGGCTTCTGTTGCTGCTTCCCCTTCTTCGACCGCTTCCCTCAGGCAGCCTTTGCTTTGCCAACGGGACAGCAGCCACGATGGTGACCGGCATTGAGACAGCGGGCATCGTGCTTGCGTTCTTCCTCTGATCGTCGACCAGCTTGATTCATATGTCCAGGGTATTGAAACGCTGAAAGGCTTCCGCACCCGACGATATCGCCGCCAGTTCGAAGAATGGTCGACAAGGCTGGGGACACAACATGCCATCCTACTTAACACGCTCGAGCAGTCTCTCGAAGGCCTTGTAGAATACGACGATGACATCTCAGAGCTCATCAACAACCCACGGGGACCACTCTGGAGGGATCCATACTCCCAGAAAAGTCTGGTCAAGAAGCTCGACCGCAATTACGGCGCCTTCGTCAGGACTATGACAGAGCTCTCGACCTTATTGGATACTCTGTCATGCAAACTCGGACTCCAATCCGCGGACCATTTGAAGGTGGGTTGCTGTTACTTTTGATCTCACTTCCGAGAGTGGCAGACGTTGGCTGGCGTCGACCTTTCACAGGCGCTGTCATCTGTCCGTCTACGACATGCTGACCACTGGACGATGCTCGCTAGGTATCTTGAAATGATGCCACTGCCGTTGAATGCGAAGTGAGAAAGGTCAAAGACATCTTCTCCAAGTCTGTCTACGCCGACTTGCTCGGCAAGATTGACAACGCCAACAACTCCCTGAAGACGCTTATAGAACAAATCGGACCATCGGCAGGAGAGTCGACGCAAGCACCGGGTCTCTAAGAAACCACTACTGAAGTACAAGGCCGCGAGGAAGCATGCTAGCAACCTGTACAATGCTGTTGTCCATGGCAAATACTGGAAGTGTCCCTGCAAAGACTCTCACTGCGTTCATCTTCGAATCGGCGCAGAGCCCATCGAAGCGAACGACCACCACGAGGCGAATCCGACGACGCCCAGATTCCGGATGGCGTTCTCGACCAAAGTCCCTGACCCTACGCATGCCATATCGTGGCACTGGGAAGAAGTCGAGACAGTACCCGCGTTACTCGAGATGCCAGGAGCAGCGCACAAGGCCACCTTGACCGCTGCGCACGCCGCTGTCCAACGGCCAGCTAATGACAAGAAGGTCCAGTTTGCGGTGGTGGCAACGCCGCTGCAGGGTCTGCCCTGGCCCAAACTCCCCGATGTCCCACCACCCCTTCCCATCCCCGATTTTTGTTCTGTGCTGTGCAAGATTGGGACCAAACGCAGCCTTGAGAAATACATGGGCTCCATCTCAGATGAAAGCGACGCGACCCACCGTTATTGCTTCTACCTGATGGAGAAGCACGAGAAAAGGGTCGAGACACAGTCGTTGGAAGATCTGCCGAGTTCTTCGTTGCACTCGATTGGATCGCATACCAATCGCCCAGCATTCCTCTTCAGCAGACGTGATCGACTATTTCTGGCAGCAACTCTTGCATCCAGCGTGCTTCAATTTCATGGCAGCTGGCTGAAGAGCTACTGGCGAAGTCGAGACATCCTATTCCCCAAGCTGGAGGGCAGCGGCCAAACTCTGGGTGGAACATCCTTACCTCGCAGGACATGGCGTGAGCAAAGCAACGACAGACCCAGCCACAAGAACAATCTCCAGTCCCCTCATCCCAAGCGATGTCTTGTTCCCGCTGGGCCTTGTCCTGGTTGAGCTGTCGCTCTGCCAATCGATCTCCGCGTTACGAGTACCGGAGGACGCAGACTCGGTCGAAGCATACGCGAACCTGAAAACTGCAGCCCGCCTCCTCAACCGGGTATACTCCGAAAGTGGCTGCAAGTACGGCGACGTGGTTACGCAATGCCTTCGCTGGTCGGAGATTAGAAACTCATCTGCGGACAACGATGACTTCCAGGAACTTGCGTTTCAGAAGATTGCATCGCCGCTAGTCGAGGACCTCAGAGACTTTGAAGGCAAGGGCCGCATTCGATGATGACCTCGCTCGACTGCCTCACAGCCAGTAGTCCTCAAGATCATATCTCCATATACTTCCCGTCCGCTCTCTTCGAGGGATTTGGCACGAAATATTGTGGAGGCGCTTGTCCTGACGATCTAGGATAGAGTCTTCACCACGGAAACGATGGCCGAGGATCCAGTAAAAGAAGATCATACTCGTCGGACAAGTTCTCGTATTCATGGGTCGAACATCACCGACCCTCATTGTCATGTCTATCATATACCAACAAGCCATCCAGTCCATCATCAAAGGTCGAAATCGTCGTTCCAACCGAGTCTGTCATAAATATCACCATCGTCGACGTCATCAAGTCGAGTTCCCTTCTCTGCAGGGGCTCTCGAGTCCCCGAACCCCTCGGAATGGTCGCCCGGAAGAGGTTCAAACTCTTCGTCCATCCCCCGAGCCTTTCCACCCATCACCCGGTCCATGATATGACCCGCCCGCTCCGGGATGATGGGAGCATCGCGGAATGCCTGGTCCAAGCGGACGTCGGACTTCTTCAATGGTGTAAAGAGAACCGGACGACGGGACCTCTTCATGATCAGCCCTTCACCAGGGTTCGTCATCTGACTGGATGGTGGTAGGGGTTGAGATGATGAGCGACTGAATCCCGGGGATTGATAGTCCCCCGCATCAGGAAGCGTACGTCTTGCAGCCGGGGTTGCCACAATAGCAGTGTCGTCGCCAGGCTCAACGAGGGGGTGAGAGAGCACGGGCAAATCCAAGGGGTTCGACGTCTTCTTATCAAGACCTCTGGATGGTGTCTCATGGATCGCTGCTAAAACGGATTGTTTCTTCGCCGAAGATCGAGGGATACTCGCCGAGCTGGAAAGACCCGGTCGGATCCGAGGTTTCACTGTAGAAGAAGGAATGACCGTGATGGCATCTTGTCCTCGAGCCACCAATCTCGGCATCGGCATTGGGGGCAGCTCCGGCTCGTCCATGAGCTGCGACTGTCCTGTCACTCTTTTTGCCCTCGGGGTCGCCGAGATCTGCACGGCCATCTTCCTGTCCATCTCCAGTCTCTTCCTCTGTTCCGCCTCATCCATGATCTGGCTGGCCACCGCTCTTCGGTCGGGCTTCTTAAGCGCATCGATAGCGGCTTCCAGTTCCTTTTTCTGCTGGGCGAGTCGATCCAGTTTGCGACGCTTCGCCTCGTGCACCTTTTGATCGGCCACGAGGTCGATCTCACGGTTGGAGAAAGACACGGACTTGGCGAGCATCCTGCCCCGAGATGCGGGCCGGTCGGATGACTCGCGTTTCAGGGTCGGAATGATAGGGGCCGTTATGGAGGAGGCGCGAGAGAACGTAGTAGGAGGGGAGACATGGCGGAGCAATTGGTGGTCTTCGCTCAGCACGCGCTCGAGGGTACGAGTCGAAAGTGGCTGGCCCGGCTTTGGCTTGGTGGAGGATGATACTGAAGAGGAGGAGGATCTGTGGAGATGAGGTGCTGTGTTGTGTCCCAATCTGGGCCGTTTGGGCGAGATATCAGGTCCACCGAGCTTCCGACAGATGGCTTTGATCTGCTCGGGCAGCTTGGCGGAATAGAAGGGCAACAGGACTTCCTTGCAGAAGTCGCGAAGAGAGTCATTTGGCTTCGACACCGTGCTGCCATTGGCGTCCTTCTTCAAGGACTTGTCGTCGGCTGTGTTGACAAGGTCGTCCAGGCTTACGGTGTGCCATATACATAGACGATCGACGACTGTCTCGATTTCCGCGGCCCAGTCACGCTTCTTCTTCTTCTCCTTCTTAGGCACTTTGCGCGGAGTCGTAGCAAGAAGTGCTGCCGAGGATTCTTCTTCCACAGACTCAACCTTGATGTCGGGATCAGCAGGCCCTGGTGGCTCTTCAGATTCGGATTCAGTCAATTTCGACGCCGCCGTGTCTAGAAGCATGACTTCCAGCATCAACAGCAATTGCATCTTGGTCTCGCGCATGCGCAAATCCGCCACCTCCTTCCGCTTCTCTTCTGCGCGGTCGCTGGCAGAAACAGGACCCTTGAGATCCCGCGCGCGCCACCACTTCGCGATAAACTCCTCTTCCTCGGCCCAGAGACAATCTTTGCCCAACTTCATCATCATCTTCTTGCGAGACTTCCTCTTCTTCATATCGAGGACATCAGGGTCCCCTTCTTGCTGAGGTAGAGGTAGCGGTAACTCGTCGATGATCTTGGCGATCGATTCTTTGTATTTGGTGTCTACCCTTTTCGTGGGCAGGATGCTTTGTTCATAGAATTCGGATAGTTCCCTGATCGCTTTCAAGGGTGTTTCGGCGGTGCGGACGTGCGCGCGGGCACGACTGAGCGGGCCTTTGACGTAGAATGCGAGTGATGTCTTGGAGATGTATAGATGCTCGAAGTATTGTGCTCGCAGGCGTTCAGCGGCGAGGGGGTTCGTGTCAGGTAGAGTGTTGTGGAGGCCAGCGTCAGCTTCTCCCACACTCACTGGTTGAAGTTCCTGTATACCAGCTCCATGCAGATTCAATGGGTCCTCCTCCGGCGCACCACCTTCCATAGCAGCCATCGACGCCTCGAACGGATTCTGCGTACCGATTTGAGCGGCTGGTGTGATCGGCAATGATTCTTGGACCGGAGAGTGAGCCATACCCTGCCTCTGCAACAAGGCAGGAGAACTCCTTGCGAGTGCCCGTTCCTGGTCGTTTGAATCTGTCATCCGCTCCTGCTCCTGCTGCTGGATACTCGGCGAGACAATTGCCTCCACTCCCCCCGGCGTAGCCGCTGGTTCTTTAAGCGAGAGAATCGACATCCTAGCCAACGCTCCCCTCCGATTATTCGGCCGTCTCGGACCCTTTGACGAGCCCAGCCCCGCCGCAGCGATTGGCAACGTAGCGGAACTCGACCCCGAGGCCGTTCGCGAATGAGTCCCCGTGTACGTGTACGTGTCCGCGTCCTCATTCCCAACACCGGACAACAAGTCCTCGACTCTGACGCTGGCGACCTTACCGATCGCCGCATCGTGACACCACGCCTCGGTCACCCACCCGTGCAGCGCACACGCCACGAACATGGCTGGGGTAGAGCCCACTTTCTCAACAGCAAAGAGACTGCCTGTGGGGAGTCTGCGCACGACAAGGAGTCGCTGTTCCCATTCCTCCACCACGGGCGGGATATCAGCTTGAAAGACGAGCCTTGACGTCGATGACGAACAGTCGAGCCATGCGAGCGGAAGACATGCTCGAGCCACCAGCGTTACCGGCGCAAATGTCGCGGTACCGGCACCTGTACCTTGGCCTGGATTTGGGCTTGGACCTGTGCTTTTCGTGGAGAGTATATTTGCTGTGAAAGCCTCGGCACTGGTGTCACGGCAGTCATTATCGAGATCGCTGCTTTTGCGTTTTCGAGAGCTCAAGCCCGGGGTCGAGGTGGAAGAACGCACAGTGTTGTTGGACGCGACGTTCAGGCTGTTATCAGTGGCTGGAGTGAGAGCTGGTTGGTGTCTTTCTACTGATAGTCGTTCCTGCATCTCTTGCCATGCTGGAAACCTGATGAATATGCCGAGTACGCAATATTTGGGGAATGAAAGGGCGTAGAAGTTGGGCTGGTGGGTTGGTCAGGAGCGCGACTGACAGGATCGAGCCTACGTCACGCGTATTCCGCAAGGCTCGGGTTCAGCCTCGTCTTGGCACCATGAGCATCTTCTGAACGTGTTCGACAGTCCACAATCCCGTGCTACTTGATTACTGTGAACATACTGGTTCATCCGTACGAGAATACGATGCGGTAGTAGATGGAAACATATATGATTCTACGAGTACTCAATGATCCTCACGGTGAAATACCACGAGACTTGTAGTACCGCCGTATTAACTGATCGCGTCTGAAAACTGCTGTCTCAGTACGCCTTCCTCCAGGAGCGTCTAATCAATGTGCATCAAGCTGTACATTTAAATCATAGCGACGCTCAACGCCAATCACGCCGCAAAAGGGCTGGGCCCGATGTGCTCATCCCAGCACAACAGCCAATACCACTATCAGTAACACAACTGCTAGGATAACCAACAGACAACAAGCCTTGTTACGGGCGGACTTCTGGTAGCGGCTCGCGCTCCGCAATTCAACATCTGCGCCTCGAGTATCGGTCAAGGTGTTTTCCACGTTGACGTCGATCGCATCGAGCATGTCGCCTTGATCGCGGACCAGGTGAGCGACATCTCGGAAGAGCTCGTTCAGCTCGCCAACGGACTGTTCAATCTGCCGGATTTCTCCTTCGCGCTCGATGATCAGATTCTCTTGAAAGTCCACCTCACTTTGTTCTGCGAGACGAGGCTCTTCGAGCAATTGGCGTTGTTGTTGACCTTCTCCTGAAGGTGATTGGGCCGATTGAGATTCCTCTAGTGCAGCTTTTGATGCTCTTTCTCTCTCGATCGCCCTTCTCTGAACGACTTGGAACTCAGACAAGGCCGAGGCGAACTCTCGCGATAGCTTTTGATTCGTGTACCGTAGTGCAGGCTGTTCTAGATTAGCATTCTGTGTAATTGACGGAGCCGGGCGACGAACATTCAGGTCAGGCCATGCTTGCGCTCGCTTGACACCATCACCGGCCTCTTTGAAACCCTCTCTTGTCTCCTCTAGCAGATCATGGATCCGCTCTCGGCCACGCTCGGTGTCCTTCTTTGAGAGCTGGTTCGACAGGCGGGAAATGTTGGATATCAATTCAAATAGTTTGGTAGATAGCGATTCAGTGAATCTTTGGAACTCCGGGTCGTCTCTGTAATGAGGGTCATCCTGCCGCCGGGTGGTGGTGGGTTGCGACTCCAATGACGATAGTCTATCGAACGACATTGCAGCTCTGGCAGAAGTGCGGTCGCAAGTATGAGTGAGAGGCTAGTACACAGCAAGTCGGAGTCGCCCTTCAAGTGAGTGTGAGGCGTTGCTGCTGCTACAAATGAAGAATGGAGAAGCCTGGAAGGCGCCGACTTGGATGCGGCACTTGCGGTTGCGGTTGGAGGCTGGAGGCTGGATCACGTGGACCGCGTCATCGCGCAACGCAACGCAACACAACGCGGCTCGTTGCGCCAGGCCCAAATTTTTGTTTACACGGTCGAGCGATTGATTCTCCCTGCGCTTCGCCAGCAGTCTCACCACCTACACACAAAGCAGTGCTCGCCGGCCGATGACCGCCAATCTACTATGATCGACTCTCCCCGTCTGGTCTTCTGTCCTTGTTATGCACCATGTCGACACTCACTGCTCCCTCGGCGACAGCGCCCCCTCGACTATACCGGCGGTTTGTGACATCGGCGCTCCACAAACGATTCGTGCACGCAGCACTCCTCTCGCTTCTTGTTGCTCTCGGTAATGCCTTCTGGCTGGGCTCCAACCAGGACCTCTTCTGGTCATGGTTTCCGTTTGGCCCTGCAGGCATCAAAGCGCTCCTTTTCTTCCTGAGCAGCCTGCTCATCTTCACCCTTCAAATAGCAACCCTTAGGATCGGCGAACGCACGACTACTTCGCCATTGGTTACATTTAGAGCAAGCTTCCTCAGTGCAGCCACTGTGCAGACAGTGATTCTCTATCTCATGTCAGGATGGTGGTTTACTGAGGCCTACATCTGGTCAGCTCCAGATCTCGGCTGGATCACAAGAGAAGCCCACAATACCCCCGATATGCTCAACGAGAGACCCATCTTCTTCCGCCTTTACGCCCTGATACTGGCAGTTGGCTATGCAGGACGCCACCAATACCGTGGATGGTCATCTCTCCGGATCCCGATCTCGAAACTTCCCGCGACGCCCTCAGCAGACGCCAAAGCTCAAGACACCCACTCACTTCTGCCTGTCCAGACACGAATACAGCAACAACTTCTCACTGCTTTGAGAACGAGCGCCTTAGCGTCACTGATCACATTTGTTGTGGCCCCTTTTATCAACGGTCTCTTCCTTCGAAACATCTTTTGGCGGATACATCTTGCTGTGGCAAAGCTATTCTACAATCTGTCGAGAGCAAATGCTCATCCCGTCGGCTATCCGCCCCTCGGATTCGCTTACCTTTTGCGATGTCTTTTCGCGGGCTTCCTGCTCGCCTTGACCTGGGAATTGACTTCCATGTTGTTACTAGAGTATCTCTGCCAAGAGCCCACAAAGTCGGGGCTCCCCCTTTCTGCCGCCAGTAAAGATCCTAATGGGACCCTCCTCACTGGCTTGAAAGCAAAGCGTGATGTTGTCCGGACCTTTGCTTTCTGGGAACTGGCTATCATTGCGCAAAGACATAAGGATCGGAGGAAAGCCATCTTCGAGGACATTGAACGTCCAACGGGACCGATGTGGACCCAGATGATGCAGGCTGGTCTAAACGTGTTGCAAGAGCTACAGCTGCGCATTGCGGGTCCACCAGCTGCCAACCCTGGTGTTCCAGAAACCGTCAAGCCACTGCCTCGCCTGCTCCCCGAAATGCAGACTCAGTCCATCTTCGCACCAGATTCCAAGCCATCCAGGGCAGAAAGGCTGGCAAGTCCCTTGAAGCAGTTTGGTAGCACCAGGCAACCGTGGCATCCACCTATCGAGCAGACTGCCAAACAGGTGGAAAATAGATTGCTTGAGTATGCCAAACCTTCCGGTGCTGAACCGAAATCTTCATATGGCTTGGTCGAGTCATGGACGACTGAGTTGAGGCGGAGTCGTCTCGGGTGGTTCTTCAATTCGACAAACACTGCCAAGATCAATGCAACCATCTTGGGAAACCCCTATGGCAATGCGGCAGTCCTCATCGATGTGATTGAAGCATTGACTAAGATGCAGGTTGCCAGTCTTACGGAGGATACCTACGGGAAGGCCACACCAACCGTGCCAGACACGGTTCGAACGTTCACCAAGACCTTGAATCTGGTTGAAGACTATGTGGCACGAAACAAGCAAGGCGTCGTAGAGGGAATCGAGGAGGTTGAAATCATCATTGAAAGACTAAGAGCCAGCCTAAAGGAGCTACTTTCGGCTTTTCAAGTCTATCTGATCGACCAGGGCCTAGGCATCGCCGAGCTGAACCAAGCCAAGAAGGCAATCCAAGCACCTTCGACCATTCCTCAAAGCCAGGAGAAGCCCAAGTCAAAACCTAAACCTATCGAGTCGCGAAACGAGCGAAAGCTGTTTCAGAGCGACAAACGGCGAGAGGGCTCCAGGGACAAGGATGGGAGACGGAAGGAACACAATGCAGAAGTGGATGGGCGACGGGGAAGTCATGAGATAGAAGACGTGGGCGAGCGAAATGAGAGTCATGAGCATGGGCGTCTGAGAATAGATGCGCCCCCTGCATGGACTCTACCGAGGACCACGACAGGCGGGCCACTGTTCCAAAGGAGGGAAATGGAACAAGTCCGATAGAACCAAAGATCTCAATCAAATGATCAACACCTCAATTGTCATTGACAACCACGGACGTCAAGCCTAAGCAATGAGCTCACTTCCGCTCCAGCTCTTCACCATCGGCGGCTCCTTTCTTCCCACTTCCTGCTGACTATCCCAGAACACACCGTCCGCACCGGGCGGCCGACCCTGGCCGTCGATATCATACGTGCCTGCCTGGTCCTCTGCCACGACAGCCTCGTTCACCTCCCCCCAGACTTCAACCCTCGCCTTCTCACAAGCCCCACAGATCTCCCTCATCCCATTCTCCACCAGCCGCGCCTGCTCCCTCATCCCACGCCTCAACAGGCCCTGCACCAGCCGGCCCACTTCGTCATGCAACCCGTTCACTCGTTCGATGAGCCGCCCCACAGAGGCGACGAGGTATTCCTCCTCGTACACACTCCCCTTTTTGCCACGCGCGCGCTTTCTCTCCTCGCGTCGCTTGGTCTTGCTCGTCCTGCGCGACACATTGCTCGCGACGGTGCCGCCGAACTTGGACGCGTTGGACCCGTACCGCGTAAACAGCGACTGTCCGCCCAGGGTGCTCGCGTCCGTGGGCGCCAAGCTCACGTTATCCGGGATGTCCACGTTCGGGCCCGCCGCGTCTTCACCGATCGGGACGGAGGAGGCGTCGCCGCCATAGAACGCCAGGGGATCGTCCTCTTTCTTCTTCCGCAGGTCCATGATCCTGGGGATTTGAGCCGACAGCTGTGCTCGGCAGTCCGCTTGCAGTTCCAGGATCTCGCCCACCTTGTCGGTCAAGCCACTGTCGACGACACGCGGGATCTCGTCGGCCAGAGCCGCGTGGAGAGATAACACTCGGAGAGCGTCGGCAAAGTACGAGCCCCGGCAGAGCAGGCGCGCCGCTTCCGTCGGGTTGGCGAGGTAGTCGGTGTAGATCGCCGCCGCGGCGCGGTAGTCCCTGTTCTCATCGGCCATGGTTGTCGCGAGCGACTGGGCTAGGGTGCGGAGCTGGGGTCCGTCCAAGGACGCCGCGAGGGCCGCGCATGTCAGGCTCTCGCGCCACTTGTGTGCGCGCGCGTACAGCGGGTACGCGGCCGCGAAGTCGCCCAGGGATTCGTACAGCGTGGCTGCGTGGTTGGGCTGCGACTTCTGCGTGCACAGATACTCTGCGTAGAGGCGCGTGATCGCCGCAAGATGTTGTCCTGCCGTGTCGTACTTGTAGAGATCTAGTGCTTGAGTGTAGAGCGCGTGTTTGACCACGTAGGCCTTGACTTCGTCGTGCTCGCCCAGCGCGTGCAGGGAGATTAATGCCTTGGCGTACTTTTTCAAATGGTTGTCGATCGTGTGTTGCCGGCGGAGAGGCGCGAGGGCGTGCAGCGATTGCAGGAAGGGCATATACTCGCGGGGATCCCGCGAGGTGTCGTTCTGCGCGACCAGCAAAGTGAGTTCGAGGTCGTAGGTGCCTAGCGCGTGATCGAATAGCACGTTCGGGTTGGGCGTGAGGAAGAAGAGGTGTGAGATGGCCGTGTCGGCCTCTTCTCTTCCTTCTGGCGTGCGGACGAGGCGAGAGATCAACGATAGGGCCGAAGTCAGGTCAGGAGGCCGCTTGCACACATGCGCGGTTATGATGGTCTGGATTGACGACAACGAGGGTCGGGCCGACAGCGCCGAGAGGAACGCATCGGCGATTCTGTTCACTTTGCTGCCTGGCGCGGGCTGCTGTTGGCGAGGGTCCTGGGATTGAGGTTGAGCGGTAGCCCTGGCCGTGGTAGTGGCTGGCAGGGTCGTATCCCGATACAACGTCTTCGTGACGTCCTCGTCTTTGAGCTTGGAGAGGAATTCATCGACACGGCCGGGCTTCTTGACCTGGTCGATGAATTTCGGCACGTTGGAGAGGAATGTCTCCGGGTCGTAGTCGTGCAGGATGTTCATGTCGACTTGGTGAGTTTGGCACGCTAGAAATGCAGCGCGATAGTCTTGCTCCTTGAGATGTTGACGGATACCTGACAGGACAAGCAGACGGGGATAGATGGTTTCAAGGTTTCCGCGTGGCATCTGTAGGATCACGGCGTAGACGGAGGGTATGATTGTGACGATCTTGCCGCCTCGCTCGATGTTCCGGCACCGTTCATCCACCTCGGGCGTGTCGGGCGGGACTTGCATCGTGGACGGGTCATCTGTAAGGTGTACGAATTTCAGAAGATGTGACGACGTGGTGAAGACCAGGTGCGCTGAAGTTAGGACGTAGGAGGTCACTTCACGCACGAAGAGGGTCTCGTCGATGTAGAGACTGCCTTTGGATGTCAGGGAGACCTTGTGGTGTTTTATGATGTGCCCGTTCGTTTCGCCGTTCAGGTGCGTCGTATCCGTCTCGCGAAGAGAGAAGATGGAGCTGTTGGGTTGGCTGCCTTTCAAGTCGGTGGACTGGGTAACCCCGGGCTCAGGATCCTCTGAGAGCAAAACTGTCGCGGACTTGTCTGGTTGGGTCACGAAGACGGCCTCCTCAAAGGTGTCCACGATCAGGCTCACCGAAGTGTCAGGGACACGAACTTGTTCCCAGGGTGGGATAGTTATCTCCGACGACCATCTTAACTTGTAGCAGGACGCTGTGGCCACGCGCTGCATGGGTGAGAGAATGAAAACTTCGTTGCCCCTAAGAGCGATCTGCGAATAGTGGGAAGTCATCGACTGGCCTGCGCCGGCGCTGATCGTCGGAAACGGGACACTTCGGGACACGACTGTCTCGGTGAGCTTCAGATCGCCTTTGACGGTCGTACGAGTCTTCCAGTCGCATAACTCGACTGTTGTTGTGGTCAGCACGGCGATTTTCAGGCCGTCTTGACTGATGGCACAGTCAATGATACTGTGACCGAATGCCGCCTCACAGAATGCCATTGGCGGTGGAACCCCAGCTTGCTTGAAAGGAGTGAGCTTCAGCGTCCTACCGTCAATGACTGCTACAGTCCCAATATCATATGGAGCGATCGTGCTTCCTCGAGACACTGTGGACAGGAATGTCAAGTCATATAGCCGTTTCGTGTAGCCACACGCGATCCTCAACGGTGTTTCCGGATGCCATTTCAAGGGTTTCATTCCGGATGTGGAACCAAATGAAAGCTCTTGTTTGAGATAGTAATGGTAGTTGCCCGTAGTCCAGAGCTGTGTTCGGTCCTTCAATGAGACAGCCAGAACGGATGAGTCGGTATTCCACGCGAGAGAAATCCTGGATGCCCACGAGTCCATCTCTTCTCTCGTCACCCGGAGATCGAATTGACCATGCCGGAGACCGTTCCTTTCGAAGAAGATGACCTCAACCTTCGCGTCAGACCGCTTGACGCTGGCGATGAGTTGGCCTGAGGGTTTCCAACTCAGCGCGGACTCCATGCCATCGACGGGTTCGCTAGCACTATCGAGTGCAGCCTCCCGCGTAAACACTCTGATGACTCGCCGATGGCCCGGAATCATACTGTTGACAGCAATGTACTGCCCGTCGCCTCGCCAGCTGAGCGCCACATCACCGTGCTCGTAAGGACTAGGCTCCCCTTGATCAACCTTCTCCTGTACGGTGGGATCTCGCATGGCTTTGGCCCGTCGTCCCTGGAACTGCGTTTCCTTCTGGCCCCAGCCGACTGAGACATGCTTGGACACTTTCAGATCGTCAGGTGAGAGGGTAGCTTCATTCAGCGGCTCGAAGGTCCTGCTCATTAATACAAGCGTGTCAGCCCGAGTCACGATGGCCAATATTTCTTCGTCGGGTGCCCAGGCGGCCGCACAGATGCCAGCGTCAACGGAACCAACGATCTCAATCTTCTCCTGGTCCGGCAATGGATCTTCACGAACGACCACCACATCTCCGCCTGCCAAGACGAGACAAGATGTCGCATTGTCGGAGAAGTGCTGAAGCAGGACGATTTCATCGCATTCCAGCTCGGGCAGGGGGCAGGGAGAATCCCAAGACGCGATAGTCGCAAAATCCTCGTTGAGAGACGAGTGTCCAGTTCTTCGTCTGAGCTCGATGACAGGGTTTGTGGGCGTCGGACCAAATGCACAAACGATCGTGTCATTCGTCGTGTCCCATGCTGTTGCTGTTAGTGGCAGGCCATCGGGAAGTTGGCTTTCCCGATAAGCTATCGTCTTGAGGTTCCGCATGTTCAGTGACACCGGGGCTCCATCATCTACGTCTAAGACCTTATGGAGGAAAGTTCATATAGTAGGGTTGACAATAAAAATCCTGGTGGAGCCAGAAATTTACGACGACGAAATTCGGGCTATTCTGATTGGACAGCCTTCTACGCATCCGATCTGGCAAGCCTCGACGAAGCAAGTGAAGAGGAGTGCCGGAAGAGCAGGTAATCAGGATAGAGAGACCGCCGGAAGTCTGTTTGATATCAATCTCATTTTTGTTGGCTCTGTACAATTTCCGGCTGCCGGATTGCCATTCCTCAACCGGACGCGATGCGCTCCTACACCTCCTCTAGTGACCCCCCCGAAGAATTTATGCCTTGTAGGTGTGCCAGACTGTTGACGTGTGAGCATTTCGGTCACGTAGATGAGATGTAAGGTATTCTTACTGGCGATGCCGAACGGGATGAAGAATCCGGTACCTGTCCAACTTTTAGTTCTTGCGCATAGCCTAATCTCGCAGACTTCTCCCTACCCATGAAGAGCCAGTATCTCAGCCAGAAGAATCTTGTCTTGGGATTGAAGGGCAAGTTGGTGTAGGGACCCTCAGGGTAGTGGTAGGGGCTGAAAGCGTCCATTCGGCGTGTTGTGGAGGTGAAGCCGCGGCGAGCGACTAATCTGGTTGCCATTCTGGCGCGGAGGAGGGCTTGAGCGTTCATCTGCAGACTGTATTAGGGTAGTTCACGTACACACAGCTCCATCTTACCTTGATATCTCGCTCGGTGTCGGGTCAACGGTCGTGGTGTTGAAGAGCTCCGTACTCAGGTGATTGCAATGCGGACGGAAGCTCAATTGTATGCACTATCGCCAAAGCGGCTAGCGTGTCGCTTTACCTTCCGTGATACAAGGTGCAGTTGGTCTTTTTCCCTGTCGACACCAGCGACAACATCTTCACGACCAGCCAAAACAAACACGCTGTTTCTCCCAAGATGGACGAGCTGTTTGACGTCTTTGACGACAATGGCCAGGCGCCGCCCGCTAACAGACCTACCAGAACCGACAGAAAGCGACTAAAGCGCCAAGCCAACGGCGAGGTCAAGGATGACGCCAATGGTGAAGACGCACACGCTTCTTCCACCGATGGGCCTTCTCCAAGCCCCGCAGAGGTTGATCAAGAAATGACAGATGGCCATGAGCCGGATGCGAAACGGATTCGCACAGAAGAGGAGCCAGAGCCCGTGATCACAGATACTTTTGAGACCGAACAATCGAGGGAAGTCGCTGCATCTGCCGGTCTCCTCGGAGCCAAAGAGGAAGAGAAGGTGATTTTGTCACATCAAGTCCGTCACCAGGTCGCACTCCCTCCCGATTACGACTACGTTCCTATCTCCGAACACAAACCTCCGGCAGAGCCGGCGCGAACCTGGAAATTCGAACTCGATCCCTTCCAGCAAGTCTCCATCGCCTCGATTGAACGAAATGAGAGTGTCTTGGTCTCCGCCCATACCAGCGCGGGAAAGACGGTGGTGGCCGAATATGCGATTGCGCAATGCTTGAAAAACAATCAGCGAGTCATCTACACCAGTCCCATCAAAGCGTTGAGCAACCAGAAATACCGAGAGTTTCAAGCTGATTTCGGCGATGTTGGTCTGATGACTGGCGATGTCACTATCAATCCTACAGCAACCTGTTTGGTCATGACCACCGAGATCTTGCGATCAATGCTCTACCGTGGATCCGAGATTATGCGAGAAGTGGGCTGGGTCATCTTTGACGAGATTCACTACCTGCGAGACAAAGTTCGAGGTGTTGTGTGGGAGGAAACCATCATCCTGCTACCCGACAAAGTGCGCTATGTGTTCCTGTCGGCTACTATCCCGAACGCCATGCAGTTTGCCGAGTGGATCACCAAGACACATAATCAACCTTGTCACGTGGTCTATACCGACTTCAGACCGACTCCCCTGCAGCACTACTTCTTCCCTGCCGGAGCCGATGGCATTCATCTGGTTGTGGATGAGAAGGGGGTCTTCCGCGAAGAGAACTTTCAGAAAGCTATGAGTAGTATTGCCGACAAACAAGGCGACGACCCTGCTAATGCCATGGCCCGTCGCAAGGGAAGGGGCAAGGACAAGCGAATGAATAAAGGCGGCACTAAGGGTCCGTCCGATATTTACAAGATCGTCCGCATGATTATGACCAAAAACTACAACCCAGTCATTGTCTTCAGTTTTAGCAAGAGAGATTGCGAGGCATATGCCATTCAGATGAGCAGTATGTCCTTCAACGAGGATTCGGAGAAGGCCATGGTATCCAAAGTCTTCGACAGCGCTTTGGAGATGCTTTCACCCGAAGACAAGAATCTGCCCCAGATCCAACACCTGTTACCGCTATTGAGACGGGGTATTGGCATCCACCATTCTGGATTGTTGCCCATTCTGAAGGAGACCATTGAAATCCTGTTTCAAGAAGGTTTGATCAAGGTCTTGTTCGCCACCGAGACGTTCTCAATCGGGCTGAACATGCCGGCCAAAACTGTCGTCTTCACCAGCGTGCGCAAGTTTGATGGTATCTCTCAGAGATGGATCACTGGAGGCGAGTTCATTCAGATGTCCGGCCGGGCCGGACGTCGCGGGCTGGACGAGCGAGGAATTGTCATCATGATGATCAATGAACAGATGGAACCTCAGATTGCCAAAGACATTGTGCGGGGCCAACAAGACAACTTGGATTCTGCCTTCTACCTTGGCTACAACATGATCTTGAATTTGCTTCGAGTTGAAGGCATCTCTCCGGAATTCATGCTGGAGAGGTGCTTCCATCAGTTCCAGAACACTGCCAGCGTTTCTGGCCTCGAAAAAGAGTTGCAGCAGCTGGAAGCAGAGAAGTCGGCGATGGTCATTGCAGATGAGAGCAATATTCGTGCCTACTACGAGCTCCGCAAGCAACTCGACGTTTACGCGGAAGACATGCGAATGGTCATCGTCCATCCCAACTATTGCCTACCCTTCATGCAGCCGGGTCGTCTGGTCGAGATCAAGGACGGTGGACATGACTTCGGCTGGGGCGCCGTTCTCAACTTCAGCAGGAGAAGCCAAGGAAGATCAACGGAGAAACTGGCACCTCAGGAAGAATGGGTGCTTGATGTTGCCTTGGAAGTGGCTGATGGTCCCACGCCAGCAACGAAGACCCATCAGTCTCTTCCTCCGGGCATTCGTCCTCCTCAGCCTGGCGAGAAGTCCAAGGTCGAAGTTGTACCTGTCCTGCTCAAATGTGTCCACAAGATTTCCCACGTCCGCATCTATCCTCCTTCCGATATGACAGTGTCTGAAGAGAAGAGGAAGGTGCAGCAGGCATTGCAGGAAGTTGCAAGACGATTCCCCGATGGCTTGGCTGTTCTGGATCCCATCGAGAATATGAAGATCACAGACAATTCGTTCCGCGAACTCCTTCGCAAGATCGAAATCATGGAGTCCAGACTGGTTGCTAATCCTTTACATCATTCGCCTCGCCTGGAGGGGTTGTACAATCAATATGCCGACAAGATGGTTCTCACGACCAAGATCCGTAACCTCAAGAAGCAGATCCAGGATGCACATGCAATCACGCAATTGGAGGAGCTGAAGTGCCGCAAGCGCGTGCTTCGGCGGCTCCAGTTCATCAATGAGGACGAGGTGGTACAGCTCAAGGCTCGTGTCGCTTGTGAGATCAGCACCGGCGATGAACTGATGCTTAGTGAGCTCTTGTTCAACCGCTTCTTCAATGACCTCACGCCCGAGCAAACCGCTGCAGTCATGAGTTGTTTTGTGTTTGAAGAGAAGGTCAACGAGAACCCGGTATTACCTGAGGATATGGCGCGATGCCTGCGTGAGATCCAGAAGCAAGCCAGAAACATCGCCAAGGTCTCGATTGAGTCGAAGTTGACCATGAACGAGGAAGAGTATGTGCAGGGATTCAAGTGGCATCTCATGCCGGTCATTTATGCTTGGGCGACAGGAAAGTCGTTCGGGGATATCTGGTGAGTGCATGGCAGGATTGATCACCACAAGTACTGACACCGCAGTAGCAAAATGACCGACGTCTACGAAGGAAGCTTGATTCGCACATTCCGTCGACTTGAGGAAGCACTCCGTCAAATGGCCGAAGCTTCGAAAGTGATGGGAAGCGAAGAACTGGAGAAGAAATTCGAGGAGGCATTGAACAAGGTAAGACGAGATATTGTGGCAGCTCAGTCACTGTATCTCTAGGCTTGACTCGCAGTGCGGCTCTACGGCGACTCCTTCTCATCGTTCAGCGTACCATGGGAAAGGGCTAGAGCTTGCATGATACCCATGACTTTATTCGAGGTTGGACATGGACAGACCCGTGGGGCGTGATGATGTCGGGATTAGTATGATGTTACTGGAAGCCCCTCATCCGCCCTGAGGTTCATACTGTGCAGAGAGGTTTGACCCCGATGTCGAATATGATGATTATCGTGCGTCATTGACTCATGGCGACGGGAACAGTGCTACTTAGCTTGGTTGACTCCAATTCTAGCCTTTGTGCCTGGCAGCGGCGAAAAGCTGCCTGATATCATCTCGGTGACTTGGTCCTGATACAGGATTGTTTACCGTTCTCGATCTGTACCACTCTTGTCTTTGCAGACGGGTTTTACTGTTCAAGCTCTCCATTACGGACCCGGGCGGTCCCCTCGAACTCTCCAGCGCCTGGACTGTCCGGCTGTCACGGGTCCCTGCAAAACCTCCAACGCAGCACCTCGTACCGTAGTGATTGGTCTCCGCTCACCCACTCCCCAGATTCGCATCTATCTGCTTTCTGGCCTTACTCTTTGAAAAGTCCCCGATTTTCGCTTCAGCAACTGACATGGCTCTTTTATTGGTACTGCGCATCAAACGGCGTTCGAGTCGGTACAGCCCATGGCCAGGCTACGGGACTGGCAAGTAAGAACACCATCCAAGTTACTCCGTACTGTATCTGAATTCCCCGCACCATTGACATGCCTTGGGAATTGCAGTGAGAGCTTGGAGCTTAATTCAGAGCAAACTCCCCCACGGGAGCTCCCCTCCCATCCCTGGTAGACAGAAGAGACTCGGTGGAAATGAGTCCATGGCTGAACAGACACTCACCAGCGCCTGCAGCAACTTTACGTGATGCCACCCGTCTCGCTCATCGTAAAAGTCATGCCTTGGCCTTCTGCTAAGAGTCGTCCTCTCGCTGTGCTACTAACTTATGGGTGGTTGGCCATGTTGGCGAGGAGCTTCCGCAATGACCTTTATAATGGTTCATAGGAGCGGTATTAAGATACTTGGAATCAGTACGAAGTATGCGGTCAGTACTTTTATCGTCGAAGCTTCAGAGCGCTCGACTTAGATACCGCTTCTGGTGTGCGTGAGGATAGGTGAAAAGTAGAAGAATCAAGATTGACTCCTCCGTATTGCATACCGTCCACATATCATGACAGTCTTCCCACGCAACTATGGCCACTTTGGCACAGTCTTCCCGACATTGATGCCAAGCATGCAGCAGAGTCACAAGAGGTTGACTCAGCTTTTTGAACCCCGTGAGTTTGTTTGTGTGTGGTAACGCGGAAAGCTGCAGGACATGAAACTGCGCCGAATCCTGTGCAGATTGGCGGTGGTCGCCATCTTTGTCTCCGGGCCGTCGCCCCAATAATGCCTGCTGGTCTTTGTTCGTTTGCATTGGCGGTCAGTCTGGCCAAACTGGTGTTGCAAGAAACCTGGATGCACGGATCCGGGGCCAGGCGATCCAAGGACTTCAACTGGTCATGCAGCAGACACGACGGCGGCCGTGCAGAGACGTGGCAGTATTGGGCAGCGATTTGCGCCTTGCACTGAAGCGCAGTCAGCAGTCAGTGGCCAGTGGCTCCCGATGCCCTGAGCCCTTTGGTTCGGGGGAGCCCCCAGCGAATAGGCGTGCTTAAGGCTGGACCCTAGGCGCAGCTAGTCTTAAGCCTCTATCATTGGCACGCACTGCGCTTGACCCGCACAAGGCCAGATGCCAAAGTCGAACCTCCACTCACACTTCATAACTTCACTTCACTCTATCACATCACACCCACGTCCCGAGCTGCTGCCTTTCACCGCTGCTCCTCCGCCGGCTCGACAACCTCACAACACTTCTGCCGCCTTTGGCCATCGACAATTCCATTGTCTTCAACCGCGGGCATCTTGGAGAGTCCAGCAAACGACGCAGTGTCGCCCCTCAATCAGCGGATTTCAAACAACAACACGGCCTGATATCATCGGGCCTCCCTAGCCACGATGAACTCCCTGGCTATGCCGCCCGTCCCCCCTCACTTCCATGAACACTCCCGCCTCTCTCCAAACAGATCAAGTGAGTTATTGGTGCAATATGGACTTCCTGACGGCCTGCTAACCCTGACACCAGTGGCTTCCTCTGGCCCTTCAAGAAAACGGAAAGCCTCACCCTCTCCTGATCGAGACGATGAGATGTCCACGTCTCCCTCCATCTCCAACGCTCGGCTGCCTGCGGCTCTGACTCCCACGTCAAGAAAGAGGGCCCGCCCCAATCTCGTGGTCGGCCGACCATTGACAGTCGAAAGACTACTCGAGACATTGGACAAGGACTCCATGACATCGGTATTGAAGACTCTGTGCGAGAGACACCCGAGCTTGAGAGAGGAGATTGCTCAAGTCAGTCCTCGACCCAGCATTCAGAGCACGATACAGATCCTGCGGCAATATTATACCCGATTGATGAATGCATTTCCCCTCGAGCGAAATCTCCGCTCCGATTACTGCTATGATCGTGTGCGCCCGCAATGGAACGAGCTGCTCGATGCTCTCACCGACTTTACACCTCATTTCCTGCCGCCCAATGAACAACAGTCATCGACGTCGCTCGAGTATTTGAACGCAGTCACACAAGTCATACACGATCTACCAGAGTGGGACAACCCGCAGCATAATATTGCGAAGCAGAATGCGTACGAGGAAATCTCCAAGGCATGGGCTAGCGTCGTCAAGGAAGCTGGTAAACGGGGCGGGGGCTATCAATTACAGTTTAACGGATGGGAAGAGAAACTGCGGTCCCACAACGAGAAAAGCGGTGACCGGCTAAGAGAGGCCTATGATGAGTTGATGCAGGCTCTAGGCTGGCTGCGGCACAGTAATCAGCCTTCACAACAGCAGAGTATTCGACAGCAACTGTTTTCAAACACATACGGCATGGAACAGCCTGCCATGCGCACCGGAAATTGGTGAGCGGGCCATGAGACCAAGTACCATGCCACGGCAGATCAGACCGGCACAGACAGGATACATGTCTGCTTGCATTTGCCTTTGCTTCAACGACATCTGAGCATGTCACGCCATGAACGAATTTCTTTTGTAACGGGCCGACCGGCAGGAGGGGAGCATACACCTGGGACTAACGACTTGAGACGACCAACACATACTTCGATTGCATTACCGTATTGTTTCCTTTGTCTGGACGGGCGCGTTGATGGGTTTAGTCGAGAGAGTGCATCCATGGTCGACCTGGGTGGCATTGCCAGGGGCACCTTGGTACGGCTGGCTCTGGTGAAGAACAGAAGTGGACTTCCCCTGCGCCGGCTCTGAAGGGATTTAGGTCTACCTTGGCTGTGTGGGCAAGGACGGCTTCAATCACCCAGGCTCTGTCATCAACTTTACTCTTCGGTCGGGTCTCAATGGTGATTCCTACCTGTTCTTACTCTAATACCACATGGGTAGGGAGGGGCACTGGATGGGAGGCGGCGTGTCCAACATTGATCCCTGTCTGCGGACGGTAGCGCACCGCAGATAGTGTACCTAGTGACGAGACTTGAGTGATTGTCTCTCGAGAGTCATATACATAGAATATATCTCATTACCGGTGCTTAGCTTCTGAACAGTGAGTCGTGATGATATGGGTATTCTTCAATGAAAGAGGCTTGTCTACCTCCGGCGACCTGGAAAGCGGTACCAAGCATGACTCGCCAATCTCTCTCTCATCTTTCACACAGCAGGGAGTATATATATACAGATTCGTCTCCACGCATCTCTCCCCCCCGTCACCGCCATCCCACAATCTTCTCGGCCCTCATCCTCCAGCCCTCCAAAGTATTCAACTTGGGCCTCACATCGAGGTAGAAATTCAAATTATTCATCCCCTCGGCTGGCTGCTGCGCCCGGGTCGCCGGCCTCCCCTGATAAAAATCAATCACATACTCGACCGTGCGCCCGTCACACCGCTCCACGGTCCAATCATGCCGGTCAAACGGCGCGGTATACCCGCACAGACCCAGGATCCTGGCCTTGGGACTCTGCGCCCCGGCGCCCAACCCTTGGAACTTGAGCAGTTTGGGCCCCGCGCACGATGGGGTCCTCGTGGCCTGCGTGGCGGGCGATTCCCACTCCTTGATCAGCGCCCACGCGCGCTCGTTGACCGCGTTGTGGATGGGGATGATGCTGCTGATCGACGAGGCCAGGGTTTCTGGGGTAGAGGCCGACAGCGTCTGCTTGCGCATCACGGCGTGGAAGAACTGCGACTCGGACGGGTAGATCCAGTTGCCGGACGGGTGGGCGCCCGTCTCGGATTCCGAGTTGGCGGGCGTCGAGGGGGCGGCGCTGCTGCTGCTGCCGGCGCCGCCGCCGGTGGCTCGTGGGATGGAGGAGACGACGCGGTCGTGCGAGAGCGGGCGCGACGGGCTATATGCTGATTGGGAGGCGGCCGTGGGTGGGGAGGGGGATTGGTCGATTCGGTCGGAGGAGCATTCGACTGAGGTAGGTGCGGGTGCGGGTGCGTATGTGGATCCGCTTGGGGTGGTGGTAGTGGTGGTGGTTATATCGCGGAGGGAGGGTGACGGTGCTGCTGCTGCTGATGATGATGATGGGTGTGATGCGGTTCGGGCTGGGAGGTCAGGGTGGCTTTGTATTTGTCCTTGCGAGGGCGATTTGTTTGCCTGTTGCACTTGCTGGGCTTGCTGGGCTTGCTGGAGCCATATTGCTCGCGTTTGAGGGTCGATTGGGCAGGCGGAAGCTGAGTCTGAGGCTGAGTCTATACCTGTGCTTGTGCTGGGTTGCGCTGGGATGGGATGCGGCGGGACAGGAGCGGCGGGTTGCTGTAATTGCGGAACTTGAGGAGGTGCCGGGATAGGGTCTGCTTTCCACCAGCCCATGTTGTATGCTGTAGCCGTGTTGGGTTTATGAAATATCTCGAGGGAGAGAAACGTCGTCGGCGCCACAATTATTTTGGAGACGCAGCAAGGAAGACGGCCAGGACAAATGCGGGGACACCAGCACAAGGTCCAGGCCGGTTGTCCGCCTAAGCTCCTTCTGGTGCCTCCGTCACCTCACCTATTGAGCCTCATCTGTGGGTGTCAGCCACGGAAGTACCAGCGATTGACGTCCTGTACTCCGTTGATCTGTATGGATTTAATCGGCTGGTTGCATCAAGTTGGCGGCGAACAGTTCGGTGGTCGGGCGTCCATGCTACGAAAATGCAAGATACCTGCATTGGAACAGCCGCTGGAAGCTCCGAATTCTGATGTGAGGCTGAATATGTTCACCTGTGTTGGATCTTCTGAACCCGTTCGGTGGTATAGGAGCTGGCGATTTCATCATACACATTCGAGTCTCTAACCACGTAACGCATTGGTATTGCACGTTCCGCAGCCTCTTATGCTGGCATAATTCAAAGCGCATAGGATAACTGTGGGCTCCAATACCTCTTTAGGCTTTCTTCCAAGCAGACTCTGCGCCGTGTTGAGAACCCTTGTCGAATAATTCCAAGGAATGGCGCAGATGCCCAGCATTCAGCTTGAGGACCGAAGTCGTACGTTCCACGACGAGGAGCATTCAAGCAGGGTATGAGTGCGGCACGAGGTTGTGGGAAGCCGGGGTAACGGCTTGCTGTTGCAAGTCACAACATTTTGCAAGGGACTATTCAAAGGTATATGCCATTGCGCTCCATTTGAGTCGTCCATCACCATCGCAAAACCCTCTATGATTTGGCCAGGAAGGTCGCTGGATAGATTCTGATTGAGTTGAACCCGCCTGAAGTCCTGTGTGCGCTGTCTCTCCCCCGCGGCGCTTGTACCGCGAGGGATCCACATCAAACCTCCAACATTTTGTGTTTTCGGTTGCGGTGAAGTAAACAAAATCTTGCTCCGTCCGAGTAGCAGAGCCAGAGCCAACAATGTCCGGTTCCTCGCCCGTGTATCGGGCCAGCACAACCGCTCCTGTCAACATCGCTGTCATCAAGTAGGTACGCCACTGTCTGCTCCACACTTTGCGGGCACAGGCTAACGAGCAGTCCAGGTACTGGGGTAAACGCGACACAGCGCTAAACCTCCCTACGAACTCATCGCTCTCGGTGACACTGTCTCAGAAGTCGCTACGGACTCTCACGACCGCTTCATGCTCTGAGACCTACTCCGGTCCCGACTCGCTTATCCTCAATGGAGAAAAGGAAGATATTCAGTCCTCCAAGAGAACGCAAGCATGCCTGAAACACCTCCGTTCGCTCCGTGAGCAACTGGAATCCAGCGATGCGTCTCTACCAAAGCTGTCGAAGATGACCCTGCGGCTGGTCTCGGCGAACAACTTCCCTACAGCCGCGGGCCTGGCTTCGTCAGCTGCTGGTTTTGCTGCACTTGTCAGATCTATTGCCGATCTCTATGAGTTACCGCAGTCACCCCAGGACCTGTCCCTGATTGCAAGGCAAGGCTCTGGTTCGGCGTGCAGGAGTCTGATGGGAGGATACGTCGCTTGGCGTGCCGGCACGAAAGAGGATGGCAGTGACAGCGTGGCCCAAGAGGTCGCCCCCGTCTCGCACTGGCCAGAGATGAGGGCTTTGATCCTGGTCGTCAGCGCCGAAAAGAAAGGCGTGCCTTCGACGGCGGGCATGCAAACCACGGTCGAGACCTCTACGCTCGCGCCCGCCCGATTCAGAGACATCGTCCCGAAGAGGATGCAAGAGATTGAAAAGGCCATTCATGAGCGCGACTTTGAAACTTTCGCCCGCATCACGATGCAGGACTCGAATTCCTTCCATGCCATCTGCCTTGACTCGTGGCCACCCATCCACTACCTAAACGACGTCTCCCGTGCAGCCATGAACGCAGTCGAGACGGCCAACCGCAAAGCCGGCAAATTGATTGCAGCTTACACGTTCGACGCAGGGCCAAATGCAGTCATCTATTACCTGGACGAACACGCTCATCAAGTCGCAGGGGTCTTCAAGAACATCCTACCGAGGGTGTCAGGCTGGGAAGGGGAGTTCGGCGAAACAATTCGTCCGAACGAGTTTGGGGGTCTCGAGCAGAAGACACTTATGACGTTAAAGTCGGGCGTGAGTCGTGTGATTTGTACCGCTGTGGGAGGAGGGCCAGAGAAAGTGGAGCATCACTTGGTTGATGAGAGCGGAAATGCTGTGCGGGAGTGATATCCGGGGGATATTCCCACCCTGCTTATGCAGAATCTCGTTGCATAGTAATTTTCACTGTGCCCGTATCTCGTATACTGATACGTATGATGGCGCGCCCGAGGCCCCTTTCGTCCCTGGCTCCGAGATGCACGCTGTCAGTGGTCTCTACGATCGCCACGAAAGCAAACCGGGCTCTCCCAGGGTGCAGCTACGACTTGCATAACCGGTGTTCCTGTCGTCCATTTGCGGGGCCGTGGTTGGAAGGGCAACTCAAGTCGGTGTTGACAGTCGTTCCCCACAAACAGGGTATACAAAGCACCTAGGTATCTGCCCGTAACAGGGGGACGTAACCCCTACCAAGTGCGTGTACTCCGTACAAGTTACGGAGTACGGGGTAGATCACAGCGAGATTCCGGCACATGTGAAAGGCTCACTTTATGGACAGAAGAATTGTGGTACCTAGGTATGATTTTGTGGTGACTTCGCAGGGAGTTCCAGGCCCACCTTCGGAGCCCGAGTTGTCCAGAGACTCTGTCTGCTTCCCAGCCGAGGTACGGAGGAATCCTCTGCCTTTCCTCGTACAGGTCTCAGGCCGACTGGTTGCGGGGCCCTGGCCCCGTATCTGGACGATTCATAAAGTACGAGTCGACGAAAGGTCGCGGTCTGGTGGAGCCGTGAAGGATCGCCCAGATCGGCTATTGCTGCTTAACTCTACTCGGAGGCGAACTCTTGAGTTGCCCTGGTTATCTCGGCGCGTGAAAGGTTATATCCATATTCGTTCTCGACGACTTTTTCTTCACCGTCTCCCTCCATCCTCGACATCAGCGCCCGTGCTGCTCCATTTGACGTCCAGCTAACAACCACATATACTGATCAAGATGATTGCCGCCAACAACAGCTTTGACGTTATCATTATCGGCGCTGGGATTTCAGGCATCAACGCGGCCTATCGCCTCCAGGAAGGCATACCTGACTACTCATACGCCATCCTCGAAGGACGAGGGGAAATTGGTGGCACCTGGAGTCTGTTCAAATATCCAGGTATCAGATCGGACTCAGATCTTCACACGTTCGGCTTCCCCTGGGATCCGTGGAAGGAAGATCGTGCCATCGCCGACGCCGCGTCAATTCTGCGCTATGTGCAGGGCACTGCCGCCAAACATGGCATCGACAGCCACGTCAAATACCACCACAAGGTCGAAAGCATGAATTGGTCAACCGAGAATCAACATTGGGAAATCGATGTCACGGTGAATGGCAATGAGAAGAGGAAATTCTACTCGCGCTTTATTCTGCTCGGTACCGGCTACTATGACTATACACGCGGCCTGAACACGCAAATCCCCGGCATCGAGAAGTTCAAGGGAACCGTTGTGCACCCTCAGTTCTGGCCAGAAGAACTCGACTATACGGACAAAAAGGTCGTCATCATTGGCAGTGGCGCCACCGCTGTGACTCTCCTCCCTGCCATGGCCGATAAGGTCAAACATATCACCATGCTGCAACGGTCACCCAGCTACTTCCTGCCCGTCCCCCTAACGGAACCCATCAACGGCTTCATCAAGCGGATCTTTCCCGAGAAATTGGCGTATCAGCTTATCCGGCTCCGATTCCTGCTTATGGGCTTTTTATTTTTCCAATTCTGTCGTCTGTTCCCGAAGAAGGGTATCTCGGTCCTCCGCAAGGAAACTGAGAAGCAGTTGCCCAAGCATATCCCGTTCGAACCGCATTTTGTCCCCAAATATAACCCGTGGGAACAGAGAATGTGCATTACTCCTGGTAAGCTTGATGACATGAGCCGCCTGGCAAACTTCGGCTGACTGTGCTCCTGCAGGAGGAGACTTCTTCGCCGCTCTGCGCAAAGGCAACTCCGACGTCGTGACGGACACGATCCAAGACGTCGCCGGCACCGAAATCATACTCTCCTCAGGCAAAACTCTCGACGCAGACATCATCATCACAGCCACCGGTCTCAAGATCCAATTTGGCGGTAATGCGAGCGTCTCGGTCGACGGCGAACCCTACCATATGAACCAAAAGTACATCTGGCGGGGCGCATTACTCCAGGACCTTCCCAACTTTACATTTATCTTTGGATATACCAATGCCAGCTGGACACTTGGCGCCGACGCCACCGCGCAATTGTGGGTGCGCCTGCTCAAACAGATGAAAGCCAAGGGTATGAGCAGCATGGTCCCACGTCTGAATGAGAATGATGGTGTAATGGAGGCGCCGCTGTTGAATTTGAAGAGCTCTTACATCAAGGCTGCTGAGGAGGCCAACACGCTACCAAAGGGTGGTGATCGAGGCCCATGGGTGCCGCGAAGCACTTACCTGAAGGATATCTGGCATGCAAAGTTTGGAGACATTAGCACCGGGTTGCAGTTCAATCGTATCTCGACATGAGCACGTTTGTGTGCAAACTTGGATGATTGACAATGTTGGGTTCGAAAAGACTGGAGTAATATGCACATTTGATGTCTCTTGGTTTATGGAGGTTTCCACCCTAGAGGCTATCTAGACAACTGAGTTTGGGGATGAATGATTTTGAAGACCACCATTCCTCGTATTCCAATCTTACCCAGGGACCTCAGACGGAGTCTGAAGTACTTAGGTACCTAGGTACCGAAGCAGGACGCCAAAAAAGTGGCACACCTAACTAATGACAAGTGAAGGTCTGTGTTGCTCTTCACTATACCTCAAAGTTTTTAGTGCGAGCAAGCAATCAAATCTATACGCGGCTGTTCGATGCCTTATTCGCTACTCGAGTCTCCCAAGACCATATGGCATCGTCTCAGTCAGAATGGTTGAAAATTGGCATAGAAGTCAGAGAAGTAGATCTAGTCGTCAGCTTGGTCTGACCAGCAAAGTGTGTCACGGTTTGGTCACGTGATTCTGTGACCAGGCTCGCGATAATGTTCTTCCGTCTCCGGATCCGCCGCAGCCGACGCGGTCTCGACCTGTAGTTTTCTCACGCTGCCTGCCAAATTTATCTTCTGACCGCCCATCTCCTTGCCACTCACAGTTCCTTTCATTCCAGCCTCATCTTGTCTTCCTTTTAAAATTCTCTCCCACTCACTCCTTTCACACGCGCGCCCGATCCGATTTCAGAGGCTCCCAGCACCTGTGTCATCATCCGTCAGGCCAGAAACTTCTGCTGCTCACCTTTCTGTCCCTTTTCTTCCAAATCCCGCTCGAATATTCACCGGTAAAAAAATGGGTGGCGGCAACGGAGCCAAAGCTGCGCAGAAACGGGAGCGCGCCGCGAAGGATGCGAAGAAGGATCCCCAAAGTCAATTGAAATCGGTACGTATTCACTTGTCTTTCTCCACGTTTGAGTCTTTGAATCCTATCCCGGCTGCCGGCTTTGTGTTTTTATTCTTATTGGCGCTGCTGGTGGACTCTTTAATGGCGCTTGACTTCCGCTTGTCTTGCTGAGTCAGGGGCGACGAGTCGTGGTTCATTCATATCTCACACAAACCGGGAAAATGGGCACGGTTGCTTTCGTCCTTTTGTTGCTATGTCTTGTCCCTAGAGGGAGTGTGGTGGCTTTGGGCTGCAGGTTTATGGGCTTCCATACAATCTCGTTTTCTGTTCTTTCGTCCTACGCAAGACCAGTCCCGTGTTGCTTCTCAATCAAATCAATCACTGACGCTTGTCTCTTTCCCCCAGAATGCCAAGGCACAAAGTATCAAGTGCAAGGTTTGCTTCGCCACCTTCCAGAGCACCTCGGCACGGAAGGGTCTTGAAGACCACGCATCCAACAAACACAGCAAGAAATACGAGGAATGTTTCGCCTGAGCAGTTGCTATTCCTCCGCTAAGGAAGACCTTTCCGGAACACTTGAAGGGGTCGCTTTCGGGCATCGTGCAAGGGTGGAGTCAATGTCGACAGACTGCGACGTCGACGAGCGCTGGGCTCGGCGACTGGCGGAGACCGAGATTGAATATGAGTTACGTTACGCTGCATTTCTAGCGAGGAGTTGCTGGGAGTTCGAAGCACCAAATCTTCGGCTGTGAACGAGGTTGCTGACCTAGTCCAATAGAGAGTGCAATGGAGGCGACACTTATTCTTAACTTCGCATTTCCTCATCCTGTCTCCCGTTTTCTGGGCACGTCTTGCGCTCTATCGCGGCCTTGTGCTCCATTCATATGGTCAGAAACTGAAAGTGTGCCAACAGTCTGGCTCGGACTGGGGTCGGCTTGTGTTGGTCCGACTCATTGTCGCCAGCCTTGATTATCCCGGTCGCGACTGTGTCTTGCAATGGGGCTTCCTCAATGTGACTCGACTCTCTTGACGGAGTGCTGTTAGGCCAAATCTGTGACAGGCATGTCTGGCGATCGTCTCCTTCGCATTCCAAGGGCCGAGAAACTGACCATGAGCCCTACTATCATGACTTACGAGCTGCCCTTTTGCTCGGATCAGGCATGGCGTGAGGCTGATGACGAGGGTATGGTAGTGGAGAGCGCAGAGGAGGAGCAGGGAACGGAGCGCGCCGAGACACAAGCATCGAGAAAGCTGGGCGGACCTTGACCAGGCGGTAGATGTCACCACCCTTGGGGAGCGAGATGAGGTGCACCCCGGCAGTACGAACCCCGGACATCGCCGCGTTCAGTCAAGGTCGTCTTCCGCAACGCTGGTGTCTACGGCGAATATACCCGCTCGCAATCAACCACAGAGACCCCGAACGCCCCTCAAGAGGCTTTCGTTCTCGTTTCAAAAATTGGCAGGGAACGACCACAGAACAATCAGGGAAGTCGGAAGAGAAGTCGCGGAAGAGGGGCTGGATCTCGAGGTGTTTGACTAAGATGTCTCTCCGGGACATTAGGCCAGTGGTCGTCGGTCATCATCCACGTTGTAAAAATCAATCCGAGGAAGAATTGATTAGTCTCGCGATATTCAGGTTCAACCATGGACACTTTCTTCTGAGGGTGTTCTAGATCGAACGACGGATAGAGGACTCCTGTCTGGGTTGTGCCTATCTTGAGAAGCTCATGGTCGGGCGATGGTTTCTTTAGATGGTTCAGTGTTGTGGGAACGGTTCAGTCAGTACTTCGTACACAAGCCCTTGACTCTGCTTTGCGCTGAGCTGTAAGAGAGGGAGTGCCTGCAGCTGTACACCGCAAAGGGCTTAGGCCAATCACGTGACCGTTGTTGGTCCACGTGACCAGAGAACATACCCACTGTGACCTGCGAATGAACCTGCCACATGGCACTGCATATGTCGAACCGCTCAGACCATCAGCTCATCTCTCTGGTCTGCTGCTATGGTACCTGCTGCGGCGACGAGTGCGAAACGTCGCCGCACGGCAGTCGGCAGGATCTGGAGACTTGGTGCTTGATCGTGCCAGCAGGAGGCAGCAAATGCTCCGGCAGGCAACTGCGGCCTCGTTTCTCATGATCCAATTTCACCTTCAGCAGGCTGAACAATGAAGGTCTCTTTCTGCCACACCATGCACACCTGAAGTCGCATTGCAGATAAGACTTGCGAGCTACGATTGGGAATCGGTGTACTCTCGATGCTGTTGAGGTCCATCCACCACGGCATGAACAGTGATGGACAATCCGCCAGCCTCACCCTCTACAGAACCTGTTACTCTCGGCTCCTTCCCGTCAGAGGTCCTTCAACAGATTTTTTACTTCACGACGCCCACCACGTTCTTTCAACTCATCCAAGTCAACCGCAAGTTCTTCGGGGTAGCATCTGAAAGTAGAGAACTCATCCTGCACCACCTGAGGCATGTGCCAGGCAGGAAGGTCGGGTTAGACAGCCAGTCGATCTCGACCGGCGACCTCTTTCTCATCTTTCGTCAGCGGGCTGCTGCTAATCTCTATGGCGCCAACTTCACGGCCGACTGCAGGAATCTGGAACCCTCACTCAGGAGTCAGGTCATCTTCGACCCACGAGCTTCATGCCTCACATCTGACGGTGATAGCTGTGTGGTGTTTAGAAACAGTCTACGAATCAAACTCAATTTGCATAGCAATCCCCTTTATGGGGCCACCATCGAGGGCCCCTACGCTGACGGCCGCGCGAGGATCATCCAAGCCGTGCAGAAAACATACCATGTCTCAGTCTTGTATGCTTGGGAACAGCCCGAGAAGGATCCGGTCGAAGACATCTCTCATCCTGCGCCAGACATCCCAAGCAAGCAATACGTCGACTGGCACAGAGGAGCATACGATCATCGGGACGGCCTCCGGTATAGAGCCACGCGTGCCACCCCCAAGACTCCTGCCCTGCCAGCTCCCCGGGTCCGCTACCATCTCCTTCATTACGACCTGTACCGAAGTGACAAGCCACTCTTCTTTCACATTCCGACCCACAAGTCATTGAGCGGCCTTCATCTCGTGCCTGTTCACCTTGCAGTCCACAATCGTGTACAATGTGCAATTCTGTGGGACCTGCCTGATACGATTCGCCCAACAAGTAATGCTACGGTGTGTCTCTACAGGGGAGAGCACCTTCCCCTCAATGAACCTGGCAACTACAATGTGTGGGTCATCTATCCTTTCGATCACCCTGCTCCAAACCATCGTCCGGGGATAAAAGTTGGCGACAGGGAAATCACCCGGGACGATTCAGACTCCGAGGATGGTGCGCAGGACAGCAGGGACAGAAACCTATACACTTACACCCAGAATCATCAACCAACCAATGATGGTGGTCGTACCCATGACAACGACGTGGACCTGCGCTTCTTGCACCACCCCTTGAAACCACGCTCGATCTCATTCTTCAAGGATGGTCGCCTCTTGTCGCTCTACGCGCCTGGATCAACCATACCATTCACAACACTACTGGCCAACGATCCAATCCGGGCTCGCCTTTACCTTTCTCATGTATCGCCTTGGGGCCACAGTACAGGGGGCACACAGTGGCCTCGGACCATTTGTCGCCGGGTGAGCAAGATGAATTATGCATGGATACATGGACATCATTTCACACTATCTACAGCATTCTTTAGTAAACACGATCAAGGTGTCCGATCCGGTCCCAGATTGCCCGACCTGGATGAATTCAATCTCAGCATTGGATCCGAATGTGTTACAAACATGCTTTGCTTGGGCAGTGCACGGATCCCTTCTTCTAATATCCCCGCCGCACAGGGAAGTCTTACTGGCTCTGGTCCAGAAGTGCTCACCATAGTACAAATTCGTCTTCGCAAGCATGTCAACGACTGTTCACACATTGATTATAGAGACAATTTACCTGTAGGCTTGCCGCGTCCACCCAGGGAGCCACGAAGCCGCAGAAATGCCACCGAACCAAATCCTGCACAAGAACTGGACATTAGTGTCGTCTCAGCGACTGATCTCACGGCAGATGATGGAGCAGGCGGGAATGAGGTTGTTGAACATTCGGAACAAGAGGAAGTCCATTCCGACTCTGACCTTAATCTGGACCACGGTGCTGCGGACGGCACAGACGTCCGCGTTGTGGCGCGTCTGTGGGGATGGAATGCGCAAGCCACGTCTCTGACGGGATCAGAGACAGTCAAAGTGTCGCCTATGGGCGAAAGAATTGCAATTGCTCAATGGGACAAGGTGCTCATTTATGCATTAAACCCTGAAGCGCTTTGCGAGAAAGTCTGGGATGACGGAAATGGCGGCGAGGATATCGACAGTGACAACAGAAGCCATTCAAGCAGCCACAACGACCCTAGTCACGACAATGACGTTATCGAGGATGACGAGGACAGTGTGGCCAACATATCTGAGAGTGTCTATGCGGATGAAGGACTCGGCGTCGATGGTGATGAAGATCTGGGTAATGCGAGTGAAATTCCCGCCGATCCAATCTTGCTTGCCCAGTCTGCTGACGTGCCTTTCTCATTGCTTTCGGCAAACTCTTCATCCTTACCAGCACCGGCCTCCGTCATTTCCAACAAATCTACTTCATCGAGAAATTCGGGGCACTATTATCCTCACGTACAGGACGAGAACCTCGGCGGCTCAATCGCCCTTCTTCGGCCTGTAGTGCTGAAAATGGACACCGGAGCTGTTGTGCGTAAGATGTGCTGGGGAACGGGACGCTGGAGGCATATTGCCGAGGACCAGGGCGATAGTAATGATGAGGAAAATGAAGTCGAGGAGCCTGGGCCAGGGGAGTATGGGGGTCATCCGACAGACGAAGTAACGGGGCACGCGAAGGACAAGGACAGACAGGCAGGTGGGTTGCAGAATACGAGTAACGAAAGTTCGCATCCGCCAGCTTCACCAAGAGCGGACGGTGAGGGCGGCCCAGCTAGTACAGACCTAGAGACGGGCCATCCACAAGACCAGCCTCGAGTATCTTCGCCCTCGACGCCCAACCTACCAATTAACGGGTCCTCAAATGAGCACTACGCGGATCCCAACGACCAGATACCACACAGTGCTGCCGAACAAGCCGTGTCGGCTCCGTTCTCAGACATGAAGCCCGATGGACAGATCCAGCACATCAACCGTCCGTCAGAACATGATACTGACCCTGACAGGCCGATTTTGACCGACTCCACCTTGAACACGAATCAAGACACGGACCAAGACTCGGAACGGCAAGCCACTCCAAAAGACGGAGCCGCGCAAGAGGAGTCCACCGTCGTGACAATTCCATGCCTGCCTGTCGGCGCGGGATCCCCAGTAGACTCAACGTCACCAACGCAGCGACGCCGCATGCGCGAACGCGAACGCGAACGCAAGCCACGTTACAGGAGCGCCGAGAACGAGCTCGTCGTCATGACCGACAGGGGCATACAGATCTGGGATCTCAGCTGCTGGGGCCGAGGTCTCCGACTCCGCGACGAGCTCCTTTCCAGCGACGGTTTTTTGCAGTGATGGGCCGGGCCGGTCCAGTAAGGCGCCGAGTACGGAGTACATTGAGTACATTGAGTACATTGAGTGCACTCTTTGCTCCTCTTGGGGTCCGGGGATGAGACTCCAGCGGACGTTGAAGTTTCAATGAAACGATAATGCGACGCTCAACGGCTCTGACTGGTGTTAATGGCTTATGACCTTGGTGCACGGAGTGCGTGGAAGTGGAATGGGATAACGGTGGAACTTGGTATGAGGTAAAGGTGGACTCGTCGTTGATTTAGGGAATATTTATCGGACATGGATGAGTGGGTGGATGTGCGATGATTTACGAGCAAGGTGGAATACGATTGCATGTGTGGTCAAACCATAGGAGAATGGCAGGCAAATGGAAGTGCTAATTAGTATTACGCGAAAGGGGCATGCGCCGGTCACATCGGAAGGGAACGGCATGGGAATCGAAGGCTACCCAGTACTATAATGAATGGTGCGTTGATTATGTGCTTACGCAGTTTGCATTGGTTTTATCGGACCTTGCGTACTCCGTACAGCTCACAACTTTATTGTCTCCCAGGATGTCTTGTTCGACTGACGCCAATCGCCCCTGCTCTAATGCCTAGGCCAATATCGATTTGACCGAGTATCTGTTGTCCGTCTCCTAGTGCCTCTCTACGCTTTGTCAGAAGTATCGGAAGACTTCCCAGCAGGAAAATGGCAATCATCAAAGAGTCACTTGTCCTCAAGGGACGTGAGACTGATTGAGTATTGCTGAGAGCTTCGCCGGTGAGACACGGCCTGGATGCCTTCTTGACCTGAATCAGCGTTGCCGTAACAGTCATCGTGGAGGTTCAGGTGCCAGTGCTGGTGTCGATATTGCCTCTCGAGCGTAACTCTATGGTCCACCGGTATAAGACCTCTGCAGCTCGGCGGCAGCGGTGGCTTCTCTCAGCTGGAGAAGAAATGGGAGTGAGAAGGCGCAATTTCGCTGTCGTCCGGACAATTTCATCAATATAGGCCATCGAAGCGGAGCTGACTAACAATCCGTACGAAAGCACAGGACTTCGCTTCTGAAATTTGTCCCAGTCTCGCTGCCGCATTGTGGGCGCTGGGGAACATGAATGTAGAATCGTCACTCCGATATCACACCCCAGCTAGATCATTTCTCGCCGCCTCCGCTTGTAATCATCAACATTGTGGCGATCAAGAACACCCACCAGTATTTCTGGAAGAAGCTCTTCTCCTGTTGTTCTTCTTGTGGAACTTCCCTTCCCTCGGCGTCAACCTGAGGGGGAGCTCTTGTCGCTAGAACCGGCGACGGACCAGGACTCGAGGTAAGCAGATTTACTCGGATAGGCTCATGCATGGCAGCTCTAGCAGCGGCTTCTTCTCTTGCTTTCTTCGTCTTTGGGATGGGAGGTGGAGGTGGTATAGGCCTTCCCTTTGCCTTGGCCCTGGCGACTTTCTTCTGATAATGTTCCTCTTCCGGGGTCAACGGTGGAGGTGACAGACTGGAGACGGAGGCCGAGTAGACTGAGCCGTCGTCCGGAGAGATCCAGAGATCAATCTTCTTGTAGACACTGTCGCTGAAGGTGTCCAACGTCGTCATCGTCGAGCTGCCGTTCGGTAGCAGGATGCGGAGGAGCTTGGATGAGGTAGGCTCAGGTGTCGTAGATTGGAGTGACTCTAGATCGGGAGGAGTCCATGATGACAGAGTGTGCTTTGACGTCCTAGGGTCGTAAAAGACGGTAGCCAGTGGCTTCACTGAGGAGGATCCGATCACTTCATAGGAAAGGGTGACCGAGTTGGGCAGTTTGGAAGCAGCTGCGTCGGCGGCAGCAGCAAGGACGGTGCACGCATAAAGCACCAACAGCGTCAACAGGCAACTGCGGCCTGCCATGATCCGGATAGCTGCGACGCAATCAAGATTGAACTGTGGCAGCGAACCTGTCGCATGTGTCTTTCTTTCACTTCTTCCTCCCTTCGTTCTCAGATCACCGGCAACGTGACAGACATCCGCTTCCTCCACTTCCTTTACAAGGCAACAAAGCCGACTACGGCGACGCACGAGCCGTGACAAGGCATCACCAGAGTCAACAGCTTCAACTCTTTTCTTCTCTTCCTCTCAAGTGAGTCAGGATGTAGCCGAGATGGACTTCCTTCAGGGCACACCTGGGCCTGAAGGGTCAGAGTTCCTTTCGTTAGCTGACATGGACACCTCAGACGACGAAATGGCAACTCTGGCCGGCATCAAGCCAGAACCTACCAACGACAAGGACAAACTCCATCCCCATGTCCTGGCAAACCTCGAACTTCACCAAGGATTCATGCTCCAGGCTATTGATACTGCTGAACAAGCCCTCAAGGAAGGAGAAACACCAGTCGCCTGCGTCCTTGTGTATGAGGGCGAGGTGGTTGCTCGTGGGATGAATGACACCAATCGATCTCTCAACGGAACTCGGCATGCCGAATTTCTCGCTATTGCTCAGTTTTGCAAGAAGTTCCCACAAGCCAAACTCAAGGAGACCGATCTCTACGTCACGGTTGAGCCCTGCATCATGTGTGCTTCCGCTCTGAGACAGTATGGTATTCGCTGCGTCTACTACGGCTGTGGCAATGATCGATTCGGAGGAAATGGAAGTGTGCTGCCGGTCAATTCTGATAAGGGTCTAGAGGAGGGCTATCCCAGTTATGGAGGGATCTTCAGAAAGGAGGCTATCATGTTGTTGCGTCGATTCTATATCCAGGAGAACGAGAACGCCCCGAATCCTCGAGCAAAAGGAAACCGAGAGTTGAAGCCGGTCGTCTGAGCATTTGGGACACTCGAGATTGGACACAGATCATGGTGCTACTCTCTGGGCAGAAGCAAGTTGAGATTCCTCACATCGATAGCTGCCTGATGGTCAGCTCGGAGGTGCTGTAGAACAAGATCGATTCAGCAATTCCACCAGTCTGGACCGAACTTACCGCTAGGACTCCTAAGTCGTCCTCACCTTTGCCCAGGGAGTTGAAGCGAATGTTACAGACGCAGATGGAAGGTGAAAATAGTGAGATCAGTGGAGCAGTGGGCTTCGGCTGTTGCTTTTGCCTACTGAGCAAGAGTACGGCGGTAGGGGCAAGTTGGCGAAGCTCTGTCTTACCACACCTTGAGATTTGGTGACTTATTCTCATAGAACACTGATCTTGAGTGTCGAGTTCTCATTTTAGTATTTGTGCCAACGTCTTTCAGGTGCTCGTCTCTTTGGCTGCCACGGTCCATGCCATGGGCCGAAAAGTTCTCGTTGCATGGGTCCCATCCCAGTCGGTTGGAGTGTCATATGCTGGATCGGTACGAAAGTCAAGGCCTGCCAGATCCCAAATTGAAACCCTAGCCGAGCCCATCAAATGGCCAGATAGAGACTTCGATTGGTCTTCCTCGAAAGGCGGTGCTACATTCACCCGTGTGTGCCGTCAAGCACGGTCCTCGTGTTTGCACGGTGCTAGCGGTAGGCTACACTTTCCTCCAGGAACTGAGGGCCTCCGCCTTCCTGAGCTAGCAGGCTAGCAATGTGTGTCCGGCTCAGACCATCTGCAACGAAATGTGCGAGATCAAGGCGTTGATACCTTTCAAGTCGGTATGAGCACGAGAACATGAGCAGCTGCCATCCATCATGATACCATTCCTTCTGACGCGAACTCCTGTGGTCGCCTGTTCGTAGAGCTGCAGTGAGCATGTAAATCGAGTTCAAAGCTCGATAGTACACGTGATGAGTTAGATGAATAGATTGAAAGCCGTGGCTGGAATGAACAATGGTGTTCGACGACAATAACTGCTTAGTCATCTGGAATTTCCGTTGCACCAGTTATAGCGCGTCAGGGCGCGTCCAATCACAACAACGGCCCTGCGCTAACAACATTTTTTGTCTCCGACTGCTCGCCTCACTGCGACAGCTGCCCCGTTCAATGAGCAGCCGTTGCATCATCCACGTCCTCTTCACTGTCTTCTCTGTCCCTGCCTCTGAGGCTATTTTTCTCACTTTCACAGACCAATTCCGCATCAAGATACACTCCACACTGTTCTGCTTCTGATTCAAACTCAACACTCGAGTCCGCTCCGATCCGTTCGTGGCCCGAAGCATCTATCGCGTCAGATCTCTCCACCCACAATGTCCGGCACTCGTGCCCGAAAGGCTGCGCCCGCGGTTGCAAACAAGGCAAAGACTGTCAAAGCAAAAGAAGTCAAGAAGACAACTCCTGAGCCGCCACGGATGACACGTGAACGGGTGGGAGAAGAGGAATCGCCAAAGGCTGTTACAAAGGCATCGGCATCCCCCAAGGCTGCCAAAGCTGTTCCCAAAGCATCCACTGCCCCTGCGAAGAAGGTCACGAAGCGGAAAGCTGAAGACCATGTTGAGGATGAGCCTCAGGTCAACGGCGTCAAGAGACCCAAGGTTGGCACGAAGCCTGCACCTGAAGTCAAAGAAGCCGAGCCGCCCAAACGCGAAACTGCTGCACCAGCAAAGACCACCGCTGCTAAGAAGCCCAAGACAGCGAAGGCCGAGATCAATCAACCTCCGACTCAGAAACTGAGTGTTTTCGTTTTTGGAGAGGGTTCCTCGGGTGAACTCGGCCTGGGAAGCGCCAAAGGTCAGACAGAAGTCAAGAGACCGCGTTACAATCCCAACCTCGGTCCTGATGTCGGCGTCGTGGCGCTTTCGGTGGGTGGAATGCACACAGCGGCCTTGACTTATGACAACAAGATTTTGACATGGGGCGTCAATGACCAGGGCGCGTTAGGCCGAGACACTGCATGGGAAGGCGGTCTTCGAGACGTCGATGAGGACGAAGGCAGTGACTCAGACTCGGACTCTGGCTCAGAGACTGCTGTCAATCCCCGGGAGTCCACTCCAGGCGAAGTCGACTTATCTGGCGTGCCTGAGAATGTTGTGTTCACTCAAGTTGCCTGCACTGACAGTGCTACTTTCGCCCTCACAACCACCGGTGAAGTCTACGGATGGGGGACTTTCCGCTCAAATGAAGGCATTTTCGGATTCGATCCTACCACACTGATTCAGTTGCGACCGAAGTTGATCAGTGGCCTCAGCAAGATTGTTCAGCTGGCGACGGGTGCGAACCATGTCCTAGCGTTGCAGAGTAATGGCGCTGTCTTTTGCTGGGGCTCAGGACAGCAGAACCAGCTTGGTAGGAGGATATTGGAGAGAAGAGCAACCAACAGCTTGGTGCCAATGGCTATCGGCACGCTCAAGAAGGTCGATTATGTCGGTGCTGGAGCTTACAACTCTTTCGCCGTGAAACAAAGCGGAGAAGTATATTCCTGGGGCTTGAACAATTTTGGCCAGACAGGCATCCCCAAAGAGTTTGACGACAGCGGGAACAGCAAAGGCAACGATGTGCATATGCCTATTGTCGTCAAAACGCTCGGCGGTAAAGGCAAAGTGACGTGTATTCAAGGGGGCTCGCACCATACGGTGGCTGTCACCGACAAGAATGAGCTACTCGTCTGGGGAAGAATCGACGGCAATCAGTCAGGCCTGAAGGTCAAGGAACTCCCAGAGGACGACATTGTGCGGGATTCGGCTGGCCTTCCTCGAATCCTGGTCGTGCCAACACAAGTTCCCAATATCCAGGCTGTCACGGCCGCAGCTGGATCGGATCATTGCATTGCTATCGACAAGAACGGCAAGGCATGGTCATGGGGATTCAGTACCACCTATCAGACCGGACAAGGCGTCGATGACGATATTGAGTTGGCGACTATGATCGACAACACGGCAGTCAGAGATAAGAAGCTGCTCTGGGCTGGAGCTGGCAGTCAGTTCAGCGTAGTGGCTGGGATTCCGCAGCCGCAGGTCAACGGCGTGAATGGGCACGCCTCTTGATAGAAGGGAAGCCTCGAGTCTATGCACGAACGGGGGTTGAGAAATGAAGATTTCGGGACTTGGTTATTCGGGGTTTAGGGCGATACTGTATTCCTTGCGGACCGGAGGCAGATACACGATTCTTTTTTTGGAGGAGACCTTCCACTACTTTATCGACATCACAAAGCTGTACAGATAATTTTCGACGACAGTGGTTCAGTCTACTTGCCACGCGGATAGAGCGAGGTGTGAGTGTGGGCGTGTGCTTGTGCGAGGAAAGTCGACAGCATGCATTGGGTTGGTCTTGGTGGACACGTACTATATGGTGTTCAACACTCGTCGGGACAGTCGAGCCAAGGGCCGCTTGTTGCGGTCATGGAATGCAGACTGGAGACAGTATCAGACTTCGACTTATGCTCGCTACTCCCCGTGCCCTCCTGCTGGCTTTGTGTATACTGTGTATGCTTTCAGTTCTCACCCTCGGCAATTGTGGCCGCGCAAACGCCGACCGTCGGCTTCTGGCTACCGACGACACCATCAACCCCTCACCTCCTGGTGCTTCCAGCATTTGTTTACGGTTTTTGCAAAGGTAATTCCCCTCACTGTGTCCATATTATGCCGAGCTTGACTGCCTCCCTCGGGCAGACGCCGTCGATGGAGAGCCAGACAAGAGCGCATATCTCCAATTGCTGATATACCCTCAGCTGCGACGTCCGGTAGGTAGGGAATTAGGGTACGTGGATTTCCTCACCAGTCACCCACCACTACCTACTACGTTGACTACAACTTCCGTCTTACTGCTACAGCGTGCGCGTGGACAGCGTAAGCTTCCCACCTTCTCCCCTTCCAGGACCACAACGACCCTCCACAGCCCAACAACCATGGCCGGCCCTCCCGTCCCGTTCTCCTCCCTCCCGCTCAACAAGTCGCTGGACGCGGCGCGGCTCAACGCCTGGGGCGCCCACGGCGAGACGGACGAGCTCGGCTTCCTCAACCGGCAAACGCCCGAGACGGTGGCGGCGGCGGCGGCGTCGGAGATCCAGACGGGCGTGCGGGTGCCGCTGGACGCGCCGCTCGACTTCCAGGGCCAGAAGCCGCTGTTCGGGCGGCAGGTGTTCGTCAAGGACGTGTACCAGAAGAAGCCGCGGATCGTGCACGACGACACGTGGTCGTTCAACACGCAGTCGTCGACGCAGTGGGACGGGCTGCGGCACTTTGGGTACCAAAAGGCCGGGCGGTTCTACAACGACACCACGGTCGAGGACATTGCGGGCACGTCGGCCAAGGGCGCGCAGAATCCAAACATCCTCGGCATCCACAAGGCCGTCGAGCGCGGCGGCGTCATGGGCCGCGGGATCCTCGTCGACTTCCGCCGCTGGATGGACGAGGGCCCCGGGAAGGAAGTCGTCGGCGACCAGTTCCGCCAGTTCCACACGTCCGGCATCAAGTTCGGCTGGATCCAAGACGTCCTCAAGTGGCAGGGCACCACGCCGCGGTTCGGCGACATCCTCATCGTGCGCTCGGGCTTCTTCAAGAGTTACCGCGACATGGTCGCCTCGCCCGAAGGCGAGGCCGAGGTCCAGCGTCTCACGTCCATGTCGCCGCCCGGCCTGGGTGGCGTCGAACAGTCGGACGAGGTGTTGGAGTGGATCTGGAACCACTTCTCCGCCGTGGCGAGCGACCACCCCAGCTTCGAGCGCTGGCCCACACCCTTTGACTGGAGCATGCATGAGGTGTTGTTGGCCGGCTGGGGGTGCAATATCGGCGAGCTGATGGATCTGGAGAAGTTGAGCGACGAGTGCAAGAGGCAGGGCCGGTGGAGTTTCTTTGTCGCCAGTGTGCCTTGTTACGTGCCGGGCGGGGTGGCCAGTCCTGTCAATGGCGTTGCCATCTTTTAGAGGTAGTTTGTCAGTACAGTACGAAATTACCATTGTTGGTGAGGTGCAGAAGGGGAAGGAAGGAAAGAAGAGGCTGCACGTAGGCTGTTGAAAATCATATGAAAATCATATCGAATCGAATACAGACTTTCAACATTCTAGCATTCACGAGCCACCAGTAACTTATATAGTCATCTTATTATGGTACAAGCTGGCTCATGCTTACCCCTGGGGGAACAAGACGCCGAAGGAGTACCCTAAGGAGTATATATACATTTTGTTGTCGAACCTTTGCATGAATCATGATAACGCCCATGTGCCTGCGACAATACCGTCGCTGTTCCCTCGTTATGCAATCTGGCCAGTCCTGGCTGGCATGTAAGTAAGTAAGGTGCTTCGGTGCGCTTCATTGAAATCCTCAAGCCCACTCTCATTCTGTTGTTATCGGTCAAAGTACAATCTGAAGCAGGTCCGACCTGCACTTGCGTGAAGGCGTGAAATTTCATAGGAAGGGGCCTTGTGGCAGGCATGATTGGAGCCATGGGCTCCGCTCACCGACTAGCCGCGGTATATTATTACACGGTGCCTCTCCTCTCCAACCAGTTCATCATCATCCGATGTTTCTGGTCTTCATAGCTGTTGGGAGAGGTCGACGGCTTCGAGCGGCCCCGCCGAAGAGGCGCCGGTCGAGGGCCGAAAGTCATGCCAAAATTGGCCGATGTCTGGCCGTTGTACAGATCTGCCCTCGGTGTCATTGGACGGTTGGGAAGATCCGTCTCAGGAGGAGCAAGCGACGACTCTGCTGGGGTGGTGGTGGTGGTGGTGGTGGTGGTGTTGTTGTTGTTGCTGCCTGGGTGATGCGTCGATATGTGGTTGTGGTAGAAACGGTCGGTCCATGCCCCGAAGGGTGTTCTGGTGAATGGAGAGTCGCCATGGGATTGAGTAGTGGGCGAATCGCCGCTGATGAAAGTCTGGTCTGGGAGATCTGTCTGTGTGCCTTCGGAGACCAACGACGTGGTCAACGCTGGGCCGTGATGGGATTCTGGGAGACAAGGAGGAGGAGGAGGAGGATGCGTCTCTGGTCCATTTGACCCGGACACCATAGCCCGTTGCCCCTCTGGCACGGGGTGGCAGTCTGGAGTGCTGATAATGATAGGTATCTCGTACATATTTTGGTATCCGGCGTGTTGCATTGTTTGGTTCGCTTAATTATCAATTTAACTCGTGTCCGGTGCTGCTCGACATTGTTATATATATGACGGGGAAGAGTAGCTCTTACGGAGGGTATCCAGTAGAGGCCCGGTACTTACTTCTCGTCCGGCTGGTCCTTGCCATCACGGAACTGGTTAGACGACGGTAGAATCAGCGTAAAAAAGCACTCGGACTCGTTCGCGGAGAGATGCCTGGAAGTTGAGTCTCTGTCCATCTGGCCCGCATGATTGGACGGGGCTGGTGTGGCTGGACACGGTAGGCGAGCGAACAGTCACCCCATGTTTGAGATCTATTGCCGGGCCGCAAATCCCATCCAAATGGGTCAGAATAAAGTCTTTGGTGTCGCGTGCGCTGCCGGTCATAGGTCAGTAGCCCGAGGCATTGTCGAGTCTCACACCATCGATGGTCTTGAGGCTCGAGGCGTCCCCGGGTTCCATTAGTCGCAGTGAGTGAAATGCGGGGAGACGGTTTCGGAACCGGGTGTCAAAAGGATTCTCGCGCATCGAGTTCCGCAGGTGAGTCTCGCCGTGTCTGTAGCAGGTTGGCGCATATGGCGCACATGGCGCACACAAGACATGCGGGATGCGAAGAGGGAGAGACGGAATGTGTTGACGCGGTCGGTGGAGTCAAACACAATCTCATGCAGGGACGTTCTCGCTCACCAGAAGAGTCGGCTGATATGTCGTAAGACTGCAACAAATACCGCAGCACGGGTATTGTATTGGCGAGAGCGGTGAACGGTACATGTACTCCGTACGCAGAGGGGAGTGTCCACGAGGACCGTCTGCAGGGGAAATGCGGTGCCATCACGCCACACACAATCGCTGTACCCAGTAGTCAGTCGTCTCCGCATACACAGCACAGTATTGTACGCCCACGCACACGATACGGCGGTTTCCGGTAACTTGAGATGGACGACAACTGGCTGACTCAGTCTCCTATCAGCAGGATCCTTGATGCTGTCTGCTCGGATGAGGCGTATACCATTTACGACAGACTAGAGTCATGGACGGCTTGAACATAAAACGGCTGCACGGCTCAGCGTATTCCAACGAGGAAATCCAGATCACCATCAATTATCTCTTACTCACACCAATTGAGACGACCTGACGAATATCACGATTCACAACTTCAGGAGTGAAAAATAAAATGCTATCCCAACCAGTCCCGGTAAGCTAGCAACCAAACACCTTCTAGCCTACTTCCTCCTCCCTCATCCCATCCATACTGATGTGTCACTTTCCAGGTCACCATTCCTCACCAACGGGAACAGGCTGCCGCTGCAGAAGAGGTCAAAGACCGCGCCTATGTCTCCGACTACAATGAAACAGACTACAGCGACTTTCTGTACTTAGCACCGCCGCTCGCGGCCGAGTTTCTCCCTCTGGCGCCAAACGCCGCCGACCAAGCCGCTGCACTGGGGGTCAAAAAGGCCAAGATCCGACCGGCCGAGACATTCAACACGGGCACGACTCCTCCCCCAAGCACCCCGGCTGATGGGTGTGAGAAGGAGTATTTCAGCGCGACGTACTCGCCCAGTGGTGCAAGGACACCGAAGCCAGAAGCAGCTCAAGCATCAGGGGCGGCGGCGGCGGCGGCGGCGGCGGAGAGACGGGAACGAAGACCCAGCTTCGTCCAGGTCACTCCCGTCAAAGTCCACCATGACCACGACACGCACAAAGACGCACACAGACAGAAGAGGCATTCGCATTCATCGTCGCACAGTTCGGAGCCGATGAATTGGTGGCCCGAGGACGAAAGCGTCGCGCAGCACGAGTGGGTGGATGAAGGGGTCGAAGAGGAGGATGTCATCGAGGAAGAGGTCTGGAGTGATGCCTTTTACGAGTGATGATCTGTTTTACTTTAGGCCATGCCTTGCCGTAACCCTGCCCGGATGATGGAATTATTCTGGTGCGTTACAAAGGGTGGCGCCCGATTTGCTTGACCGGGGAGACAGGCTAGAATTGAGGACGACGTATGAGGCAGGCTTTGTACCATTATTACTACTTTACAGTATCTTCAATCAACGACTTCATGGCTTGATTCTTGGGTTCGGGTGCCAATCTCTTCATATACATGCAGCGAGACCTTCGCATCCGACGCGTTCATGCCATCCGTGCAGACTCGTCTCGGTGTAAGTGTTGTGATGCTCGGATGGCCAGTCTTGGGAAGCGCCATTCAAGTTCCGTATCAGCATTCCGTGTCGTTCGTGATGAGTCTCGAGGGGACGCAAAGATCATTGACAGTAGTCATGAATCGTTACGTTCCGTACCACCTCGCCAGCCTGGCCTACCGACCCAAGCAGACGTCTACATTCGCACTGTAGCCTGGCCGTCCCCCACCCACCGCTCATGGCTGAGAAGTAGACGCGGCTCTGGCACGTCAATTATACGTTAAGTAGCAGTGAAGTATCTTGCCGTCCCGTCCTCGTATCGCATCTCTTTATGTCATATCATACGCTACCGGCCCTCGATCAATGTGACCCCGTCTCGTCCCCAGCTCGAGTGCCACACCAAACCGCTGTGGTCACCTATCCTTTCCCAGAACCAAGTACAGTCTATCCCGCCGACCCTGTGACCAACCACAATTCCTCGTCCGACGCCCGATCCTTGTTGCTTCTGCTCCTGCCCTGGTCCCTACTTGTCCTTCTACTTCTCCTTCTGCTCCTTGTCATGTCCGTGGCCCAGAATCCTCACCGGCACATGCAGGAAGTGCTTCTCCTCCCCATCCTTGTCAGTCGCGGGAGGAGTATGCTCCACCTTCGGAACCACAATCCTAAGGATCCCGGCCTCCAGTTTCGCGTGCGTGGCGTCCCGGTCCACGTCGACAGGGAAGTTGTACGCGCGGATCATCTCGCCTATGGGCCGTTCGTGGATCGTCAGGTGAGGAGCCAGCAGCTTCGGTTTTGGTTTCTGCTCTGGCGGTGCCGTCTTTGGGTCGGTGGTGATGATGTCGCCGCCGTTCTGCTGCTGCCCGGCGTCAGCGGCCGTAGTAGTTGTTGTTGCTGCCGCCGGCGGCGCGGGCTCCTCCAGCAATTCCTCCTCTGGGATTTCAGGCCGGGTGGTCTTGCTCGTCAGGAGGAGAGTGCGCGAGTTTGTCCACCGGAGCCGGAGTTCCGCGTGGTCCTTGACGCCCGGGAGCTCGACTTCCAGGTAGAAGTTCCGGGTCGTCTCGCGCACGTCGGTCTTGGGCTGGTGCGCGTCGAGGTCCTTGTCGTGGAACTTCGAGTACAGGTTGTGCGCCACGTAGGGGATGGTCGAGATGTGGTGGAGATGGTGGCCCTTTTCCGGGTATGTGTGCGGGATGTGGATCTTGGGGTACGGGTCCATGTCCGAGGTGATGTAGAACCAGCCTGCCATTTGGGAAGGTCGATATTGATGGTTTTGAATGAGATTGTTGGGTTTGGATTGGAGGGGGAGTTGATCAGTCAGTGAGACCGTAGTTATCAGTAATATGTCCAGGTTATGTGGTTGTCGTGTTTTCGTAGACGTTGCAACTTGGTCGGTTCGCCAGTATTTGTGTCATTGAGCGTGGCTCCGACCGACATCGCTTGAGTGCCTTCCTTGGTGCATCATGTGGTTGAGCTGGATGACTCGTTGCCATCTGCCGGTCGTATTCTTCGTCGACTCGGACGGAAGCGACAAGAGTGCTCGGCTTGAGGGGAGGGATTGTTCGGGTGGCCACTGGTTCCTCCCATTCTCGGTATCAGGAGACATCGGTTCGCAAGGATAGGATGGCCGCATTGCTGTACACACAATACACAGTGTCGAATTGACACCGTGAATGCCCGTTCATCACGTGAAGACTGCGCACAGGGGAGGTGACGAGACGACGTTCCGTGGTGTGATGTTGCGTATCTATTCGGCCTGCATGTTCCGGGGGTGGGTCCTACGGGTCACTGCGTCAAAATCATTGGCAGACGGGCCTCCGCAGACCCACTTCGTCGAAGCGAGTCGGAAAAGGCTCCAACCCCTGAAAAGGTCCCGACAAATCCCTGCCAGGACCCGTGGCAGAGAACGCGTGGAATCTGATGCTGCCGAGAAGCACCGAGCTGCAGGCGCCGCTGCAGCTGTGGCATCTCGAGATCTGGTTCATCATACGACTGCAGTCAGTTAGTCAGTCAGTCACACTCCAACCCAACTCGACTCAGACATGCATGCAGAGGAGCTGGTGCGCAGGAATGTACCTCGCAGCGTGGCAACTATATCTGCGCTACAGCTGTGTGCCCTCTGGCTAACATTTTACTTCCCTCACACATCAGAACATCACTACGAACCATAGCTGAATCGAAACAAGACAACAACACAGCGATACAATCGCCAGATAACCAATCATCAAAATGTTGCGAACCAAGATGCCCAGGATTTGCGCCACCAGGATCAGGACGCCGCAATTCTGTCAGTCTCAAACCTTTGTGACTTCAAGGCCATTCCTGAGTGCAGGCGACACTGGCGCAGTACGGCAAGGCGGTGTAGCGGCAAGGTAAGATCTTCCTTCCAGGTACACCAAAGCCCACGGACCTCTCGCTGACGAGCACACAATAGTGATAGCTTTAATCGCCGCGAACAGGTGCTGGAGAATATGTACTTTAAGCAGCACGAGATGGAGAAGTAAGTACCTCGGACTCGCCAATGAGGGTGGCGATTTGAGCCATGAGACTGACGACGGGGCTGTATAGTATTCGGAAAATCAGAGAAAAGCTGGCAAGCCAGCGGAAACAACTAGACGAAGTCGAGAGCCATCTGGATGAGATGGAAAAGGCCGCGACTCAGTCACAACAGACAAAGCTGTAAAAGACATGTTATGAGGAGTTGAGTGATTTGATCAGGTTGGAGTGCATTGAGCTCGAGAGTTGCCAGCCGTTTGCACTCTCTTGGAGCTTGGAGTTCTGACATACTAGTCCCTGCGATTGATAGTAATATCATATCGGGAGGTTCGGTAAATGGCATCGGAGCTCCTAGGAGAATCATGAGTTGCTGCTTCCCCAGATACTTCGCGTCTTGCTTGGTCCTGCCCGGTAATGGCTCGAATGCGTCTTAAAGCTAGGGTGCAAGTGATCTTCGCAACAAAGGCGGGCATAAATCAGCCCAGCTTGACGAACAGCCGGGATACAATTCCGCAACATGGGCTGGACCTCAGCAGCAGACCCTTCAACAGTGCACATCAGACCATGGTGGAACGGCTGGGCCGTGGTTGAGTCAGGAGAAGCACACGTGGTTGCCCGAAGTTGTCCTGGTGGTTAGCTCCTCATGTGACTGGAGTTCAGGGCCTTATTTGATAGAGTGTCGTGTCAACCAGCCTTACCGAGCCAATTCCGTTATGACAAGGCCAGAGGAAGTGTGCGTAATGTCGCTCATTCGTTGTTCTGAAACGATATTCGACACGGCAAGCATTACATAACCCGTTGGTTGAACGACTCACTTCTGGACCCAGTCACGCCACAACATATCCGCAGACTGCCTTCATGGCGTGGTTTCAGCTGGTGGGGAAAGTCAGTGCTCGTCTATGATGATTCCAGACTCATCTCATCATGACCATAAGTATTGTTGGTGCAGCGACAGTCGAGGTTCACCGCAGACAACCCGAATCAAGCTCTCGAAAGTTCAAAGTCCAGCACTTCAGAATATCAAACTCAAGCAAATAACGACGTACCATGGCAACCAAAGCAAATGGCACGGAGACCCCTGACGTCGAAAATCTCTACCATGTGCTCCTCAGCACCTCTCACATCCAACGAGACCCCAACGGCGCGATAGAGAAGCTGCAAGTTTGCGCGACATTTACAGATCTCAAGGCAGCCAAGGCCGAGGCACACAAGACTCTCTTCGAGGCCGGCTATGAGCGAGAATGGTTTACCGTGTATGATACAAACCAGGCGGAGTTTGCTGCTCATCATGTCAAACGAAGGACAGGCCTTGCCGTCTATGCGAAGGCGCAGGATGGGACCGTCTTCCGTAGCTACGTCGCCACCACCCCAAACACGCAAGGGTTCCAAAGCGACGCCGAGGACCACAAAATACATTTCCCGCTCTATCACGTCATTGAAACAATTGTCCTGTACGATGAGGACGACAGTGGAGAAGCCAGGGAGACGAACGTGGAAGGCTCCTTCCGAACTTACGAAGAGGCACGACAATTCGCAAACCGAGTTCTCCTGGCGCCAGAAAGCGGCGTGACAAAGGACTCGTTCGCACAGTACGACGAGGCCGGACCATCAGAGAAGGATTGCGGATATGGCGAGAATGTCGTCGTGCATGCCGTTGGCGGTAACGGAGAAAACTTGCTGGTCAGCGTCCTGAAGGGCCAGGAGCTGGAATCTGTGCGGTTGGCAGAGGCGGCGATCAAAATCCGTTCTAATTAATTGAGAAGCACTGGGGATCGTAGGGAACACACTGGCTGGCAGCTCTGTGCATAACACGTTCGCGTTCTATCGCACACTCGATTCTCCATGGATCTCTTGAGGCTCAATCGAGAATGCACATGTCGGAAAACATGTCTGAGGTCAACACCTTGAAATGTCGTCATTGGCCGCCGTTAGCCCCCGCCGCCAGGAGCCGAGGTGGCCCCTCGTGCCCCAACGACCCTGCCAATGGCCCTGCCCACGATAGCCTTGGATGGCCACGATGGCCCCTCCTGGCATCGGAAGATCCCGCGCCTCTGCGTTCTGGAGCTCATGGACCTCTTGTGAGCTGTCGTGTCCGATTATCACACCACCGCACTCCGTATGACCGTCTTCAATGCAGCAAGGCGTCGTAGAATCAAATGGTGCCTGCTCAGTCATCTGGGCGCGCTTGGCTCGTATCACGCGCCCCTCCATCGCGACCTCCTTGTGTAACTCTGCGGCTTCGTCGGCCTTCTCGAAGATTTGACAACAGTGAGCATTTTCTCGGTTATCATGGTCCTTCTTCCTGTTTCTTGGGACAGACGAGACGTACACAGTACTGCATTTCCGGCGCGGTAACTGGCATCTACGCACAAAATTTCTCGCCATCGCGACAAACCTCCGAACACCACTGATCCCATGAACCGATCGTTCTGAACATGTACATTCCTAAGCAGCAGTCTCTTACCCAGGCGCAGGTCGCCCCTCAATCTCTGGAAGTAATTCTCGACTGCAATACCTCAGTCGCGGCATACCCTGGCCTGCCTCCCGGATTCCAACCCCCATACAGAACGAACCCTGACGTGCAGACCATCGAGGCGTTTATACAGGTGACGTGGGTGCTCTGGTTTCTGTTCATTCTCTTGATGGTCTGGTAAGCAAGCCTACACAAACAGTAAAGGAAATTCACGTTCGCGAGTCTAACCGCGAAACAAAAAGTCGCGGCCTCTACACTCAATGCGGCAACGGCAACGGCAACGGCGACGACAATTCCGATTTGGAATCCGACATCACGGAATCAGCCTGGCGGGAAGAAGATCCCACCTTGCCAGCTCCGGTGGTGGCCTCGAAGCACCGAAAGAGGCTGAAGAAGCTGGAGCAAGTTGCGCCCGCCCAATCGTTACAACACTGGAGGGCCGAGAAGTCGGTAGAACATATCCAGACATTCGCCACCGTCTCCCCGACTCTGAGTTGTGCGATCTGCCTCGACTCACTGGAGGAGAACGACCAAATCCGCGAGCTACGATGTGGGCACGTCTATCACGCCGAATGTCTCAGTCTCTGGGTCGAAAGAGGACACCACGATTGTCCGCTCTGCAAATATGACATGCTGGGGTTGAAGAAGACCATGTCGAAGGCCCAACTCTCCGTGAGCCGGAGTGCGACAAGGACAAACCTGAACACTGTTGCTACTCCGGAGCGTGGGGAGGGGGCAGAGGATCTAGTGGTGCGTTTCAGTACCAGAGGGGAGTCAGGGTTGGCTCAGAGAGACTAACGTTCTCAGATTCATATCGACGACGATACGGACGACGGCGGCGTGACTGACGACGACAGTGACGACGGTTGAAAGCGATATATACAGCCCAGGTCCCACTTTCCCACTCTCACCATGCCGGAGCAGGTGTCGTTCCCAGTCACCACCACCTCGGAACTCACAGACACGTCTTGGTGGTGGCAACACATTACGAGCGAAGGGAACGATTCGCAGCGTGTGCGATCATTATCGGCTCGATACTTCACCGGAAGCTGTACTCTGTCTCCGCCTGTATCAAATCGGCAGACGAGGTCACAGTAATGTCCATTATTTCTGGTGGCCGAAGATATTTACGGCTAGATGCACACCACGGGTATTGCCTTGTACCCTCCCGTCTCAGTCTATCCATACGACCAGGGTGAAGCAGGCCTCGAAGATCAAATTGAAAGACATTTAAGCATATCAGTACCAGACAGATGAACATCGGCTGGATTCCACCCAAGCCACGAAATGCGCGGTCGCAACCGGCCCTTGTGGCGACGTCTAATTTTGAGAGCTAATGGGGCCCCTATCCCAACTCGAAGGCCCGCGGCACAACTCGACTCCGCCATATATACGCATAAAAGGTAGTTCTGGAACGTTCAAGGAGTCCCCAAAACCTCATCCACCATCTTCCTGAACTCCCTCTGCCTCTCACACTGCTCCAGGAAGACCTTGTACTTGACGCTCAACAATTTCTTCACCTTCTCGTCGTCAAGCGGCTCAACAAGCTTCCCCGGTTTACTCATCCGATCCATAATGGACCACAAATCCTCCGTCTTCCCCGTAGCAGGATCTGCGCTCGCGGCTTTGGCTCCCAACATGGCGGCTCCGTGGCACACCGCCGCGTGCACATACCGAGGAATCAACACCGGCATATCGCAAGCTGTAGCCACCAAACTCATCAAAATGTCATTCTGGCACTGTGACCCGGACATGAAGATCGAGTTTATCTTGTGCCCGGCCTTGTTCATCGTCGAGATAATCTGCCAGGTCTGCAGAGCGATGAACTCCATCGTGCCGTAGTAATACAGCGCAAGGCCATCGAGAGATTTATCACTGGACAAACCCACGACGGAGCCTGACATGGTGGGGTCCGCGACCGGCGAGCGGTTTCCGAAGAGGTCGCCGTAGAAAAAGAAATGCCGCCCCAAGTAACTTATGCTCGGGGCGTTGGATTTCTCTTTCATGTCCTCCAGGTGTTGATTTAGGAAGTCGTAGACGTTGCTGTTGGTGGATTCTGCGCGGGAGAGTGCCTGGTTGTACGCCGGGTGTGTTTCCAGCACATGTTTCAACAGCTCCCCCGTGGCGGACTGTCCACCCTCGGCCATCCAATAGTTTGGAATCACGGCATCGCGGTAGGGGCCCCACACGCCGTTCACAAAGACGGGATCTTTGGACATGACCAAGTGACAAGTGGACGTTCCTGCGACGGCGGCGAGGCGTGTAAAGGCTTGGGATTGATCGTTGGCAGGCGTATCCTGGTTGAGGTTATCTGGCGAGAGTTGGACTTTGGCGCCGACCGTGCCGATCCAGCCTGCGTAAGCGTCGATGACGCCGGAGCCAACCGCAATGCCAGCAGGAAGGCCCAACTCCGCTGCGGCCTTTGGGCACAGGTGGCCGGCTAGTTCACCGGCGGAGAGGTATTCGCCGTTCTGTAGCACGAGTTGTCTGTCAGTCGGGCCAAGTCGCTAGGGGGGCGACGAAAGCAGAATAAGGAAAAAGTCTCTAGAGCCACAATAAGAGATAGGACTGGGCAAATAATGCGAAGGGAACAAACTCACCACCCCGTTGACACCACCCATCCTCTTGAAATCATCCTCGGCCAGCTCCTCCAACCCAATGTCTTTCAGGAAATCCTCCTGCCATCCCTTCACCGACCCGTCCACCCCGACAGGCACATACCCCTGCTTGCAGACCACGGAGCAGAAACTCCGCTTCTCGTTTCCCGTCGCGATGTGCTCCAGCGCGTCCGTCAAGTCGTAGAACTTGCACCGGTCAAACAGCTCTTTGGGCATGTTGTTCTTCAGCCACAGCACCTTGGGGATTTCCATCTCAATGCTCATCGTCCCACCGACGTATCTCAACAGGTTATGTTTCGTGGCGTTGATCTTCTTGGTCTCCTCGACGGGTCGGTGATCGAGCCACAGCACGACGTTACGGTCGTTCTGCTTGTTGTCGAAGTGCGGCGCCGTCACCGAGACGGGCTCGTCCGTGTCGTGCGTAAAGACGGCGAGCGAGCACGTCGCGTCGAACCCGATGCCGCGGATCGAGGCCGCGTCGATGTTGCCCTGCGTCATGGCGCGGTGGACGGACAGGCAGATGCACCGCCAGATATCGGTTGTCGATTGTTCCTTTTTTTATCCCATCGATTAGTATCGGAACCAGCAACAATGAATCACGACGCCCCGTAACAGAGTCTCTCTCTCTGTGTGTTTGTACTCGAACTTACATAGTACCCCGTCTGCGGCTGCCAGAGGCCAATATTCTCAGAGGACAGGCCGACGATATCGCCGGCCTCGTTGATGATGCAGGCTCTCGCGCTCCCCGTGCCCACGTCGATGCCGATATAATGGTTCTGCTGGACGTGGACCTCGTTTCGCGCATCTACGGAGCCCTTGCGCGTCGGCGTGTTCACCCCGCTGTTGGGACCGGGTCGGAAGGGGATCGGACCAGACATGCTTGGAAGATTTTCACGTCAAAGGTAGCGTAGGCAGGTATGAGGCACCCCTGCTGTACAGAGTGGGTGGGCGAAAAGGTAAGGATGGGGGAGAGACGCAGCGAGTTGAAAGGTATGTAACACGATAAACTCGGAACCGAGTAACTCGTATGCTATGGTACGCAGAAAGAAGTGAGAGGAAGGAGGAAGGAGGAAGCAAGATCACAATGAGGTGAGCAAAGAGAGAAAGAAAAATATGTAACTTGATCTCACTCAGAGGAATCGTTGATGGTTGATGAAGAATGAATGATCCATGCTGAATGAGGGGAATCGCAATATCTTTTTTTGCCATGGGTGCCCCTCGCGAGGCGTGCTCGCATGCTACAGGACGTAGTGTACGTAGCTCCGTATGTCATCTGTAGATCTCGAAATTGTTGAAGCGCAGGGGTCCCGGAGCTAGATGCTAGCTAGGCCTGAGCTACCATTCGGGTGGCGGCATCAGTACTGGATACAGCCTCATAGCCTATTGGAGGCTCAGCAGGGCTGTGGATAGGGTAATGGAAGTGGTGGGAGAAGAGGAGTTGAGTAGTGGAGAAGATTTCCTCGTGCTCGCACTCATACGGAGTACAGTCCAGCTTTACTTAAGCAAGCGAGGGGCAATGCTGGGCGTGGTGGCATGCCCGAACAGCCCGGCTGGCCTGGTGCTCGCTTGCTCGCTGCCAGCTGAAGTACAGTACGATCATGTCTCACAAGGCTGCAGAAGCGTGTTCCAGAAGGCACGGGATCGAGGTGAAAGGTTTTTGTTGATATACGTATTTTTCAGCAACGTTCAGCATACATCGCAGCGATCGTGCAATCACTGTCTCCTGAGGCAAACCCTCTGCCTGGTCGGCCACCTTCGGCGGCTGCCAGTGGCATATTCGAATATAATATATACAGAAAAACGATGTCAGGACTGCCTGAATCGAAACCCCATAGATCCCTCCAGCATATGCCTCGAGCAGATGGCCAGCCCAAGTTTTGATCAGAACGCCGACATACCCCACTCTGTGAAACCGCGAACTTTGATACCAGGTTGCTCCGTTGCCCACAATTCATTCCCCCGTTTCCTTTGGTATAAGCTGGTGTTGGTTTGTCATCACGCGTGTCCAAGCCTTGCGAAAGGTCCAAGTATCTTCTATCATTTTCGTGACAAAGGAACAGGATGTTGAATCAAACGCCGAATCGACAGGGTATCATACAATTATTGCACACCTCCTTCAGCCTCATTTTCTGAACTGCGCCAGCTGGTGTAGGATGTTCGTGACCTCCGCTGGTATGGTGATCTGCGCGCTTGTAGGAAGCGCGACACTTGCGCCCGTCGCCAGACGAGGAGAGGCTTCGGCGGGTTCGACAGGCTCCGGCGGACTATATTCTGGCTCCTCCCCCTCGTCTTTCATTGTGGCATCCTCAAGATCGCGGGGCGGGAGGGGTTCTTGAGCCATCGGCTGTAGTGCCAACTGTTGACCGGGCTGTGGAACCCCTGTTGACACCTCAGCGGTGCCAAGGGATGACTCTGATGGGCTCGTTGCAACTTTGGTTAATTCTACCTCACCAGTGCCGAGGCCCACTTGGGTTTGAGATTTCTCCGTCGACGGGGTCGATGCGAGACGACGACTCATGTAGTCTCCCAAGCTCAATTTCTTCCTCGCCGGACTCGGAGTAACCACGCTAGGCGTGAGGCCGGGGTGAGAGGCAGAAGTAGAGGCGATAAGAGTAGGAGATTGTGCCGTGGCTGTTGTGGTCAAACCAGGAGTTGTCGCCGAGGTAGCGGATGATGAGGCAGAGGTGGCAGAAGAAGGAAAGGCCGGCACAGGTGGCAAGGTGGACAGATTTAGTTTTGGCGTCGGAGGAGGTCTCCAAGGACTGTGGGTGTGTGCCGCCTGCGATGGTAAAGGATAGGTTGTCGCACCTAGATTATGAGGAGGAATAGTGTCGGCGCTGGCTGCATGCGGACTGGTTGCGGCATCGGTGACAGGATTGTCTGCACGCACGCTGGCATCTTTCATGTCCACGTCCCCGGACGTAGGAGGAGCATGGGCCTGATGCTGCATGCATGCCGACGTAGGGGAGGACGGGACCGGCTCTTGTTGCCCATGTCTTTCACGGTCCGCGAGCAGTTTCCGAAGCAAACGCTGCGTAGGTGTGGAGAACTTCCTCCTCTTTGCTGGTGGCGGTAGAGCCAGACCACGCTCTTCGGGGTCCGTCTGAACTGCAACACTAGTATACACAGGCTGCGGCGTTCTTGTCTGCGGTTTGCTCGGGGGCTCCATGGACTTGCCTCGGCATGCAGGAGCTCGCGGCGGCGGTGGTGAGCCCAGGGCAGTATCATTGAGCCTGGACGGTTGTCCACTGG